AAATGTAATGTATAAAGTCACCCTTATATCGGGGGGGGGGGGAAGAAGTACAATGAAGACAATACATCATGCGAACTCATATTAGTATACATGTACTATCCGAGGTGCAAGGTCGTCGTCCTGAGTGTTTTACCTGCCAGGTGGCTGTAGAAGAATTCCTTCTCCAATGGGTTCCATGTGGTGAGAGAGGAGCACTACAGCTTCTACCTGCGGAAGGATATATGGTAACTGGTGTGTTGGGACTATTTTGTGTGCATTAACAGGAACAGTCCCTGGAGGGGAGAGCATGAGGTATGTACACTGTATGTATATGAGTCATATCTATTACATATACAAGTGTGGGGTCACTGTGACACCATGTAGGGTCATATCTATTACATATACAAGTGTGGGGTCACTGTGACACCATGTAGGGTCATATCTATTACATATAGAAGTGTGGGGTCCCTGTGACACCATGTAGGGTCCTATCTATTACATATACAAGTGTGGGGTCCCTGTGACACCATGTAGGGTCCTATCTATTACATATACAATTGTGGGGTCCCTGTGACACCATGTAGGGTCCTATCTATTACATATACAAGTGTGGGGTCCCTGTGACACCACCCAGGGTCCTGTCTATTACATATAGAAGTGTGGGGTCGCTGTGACACCATCCAGGGTCCTGTCTGTTCTTATAGAAGTGTGAGGTCGATGTGACACCATCTGGGGTCTTGTCTGTTCTTACAGAAGTGTGGGGTCACTTTGACACTATCTGGGGTCCTGTCTGTACTTATAGAAGTGTGGGGTCACTGTGACACCATCTGGGGTCCTGTCTGTTCTTTATAGAAGTGTGGGGTCACTGTGACACCATCCGGGGTCCTGTGTGTTCTTTATAGAAGTGTGGGGTCGCTGTGACACCATCTGGGGTCCTGTCTGTTCTTATAGAAGTGTGGAGTCACTGTGACACCATCTGGGGTCCTGTCTGTTCTTATAGAAGTGTGGAGTCACTGTGACACCATCCGGGGTCCTGTCTGTTCTTATAGAAGTGTGGAGTCACTGTGACACCATCCGGGGTCCTGTCTGTTCTTATAGAAGTGTGGGGTCGCTGTGCAACCATCTGGGGTCCTGTCTGTTCTTATAGAATTGTGGGGTCGCTGTGACACCAACCCGGGGTCCTGTCTGTTCCTATAGAAGTGTGGGGTCGCTGTGACACCATCCGGGGTCCTGTCTGTACTTATAGAAGTGTGGGGTCGCTGTGACACCATCTGGGGTCCTGTCTGTTCTTATAGAAGTGTGGGGTCATTGTGACACCATTGAGGGTCCTGTCTGTTTTTACAGAAGTGTGGGGTCACTGTGCAACCATCTGGGGTCCTGTCTGTTCTTATAGAATTGTGGGGTCGCTGTGACACCATCCTGGGTCCTGTCTGTACTTATAGAACTGAGGGGTCAATGTGACACCATCTGGGGTCCTGTCTGTACTTATAGAAGTGTGGGGTCGCTGTAACACCATCCGAGGTCCTGTCTTTTCCTATAGAAGTGTGAGGTCGCTGTGACACCATCCGGGGTCCTGTCTGTTCTTACAGAAGTGTGGGGTCACTTTGACACCATCCGGGGTCCTGTCTGTTCTGATGGAAGTGTGGGGTTGCTGTGACACCATCCGGGGTCCTGTCTGTTTTTAAAGAATTGTGGGGTCGCTGTGACACCATCTGGGGTCCTGTCTGTTCTGATAGAAGTGTGGGGTTGCTGTGACACCACCCGGGGTCCTGTCTGTTTTTATAGAATTGTGGGGTCACTGTGACACCATCCGGGGTCCTGTCTGTTCTGATAGAAGTGTGGGGTTGCTGTGACACCATCCGGGGTCCTATCTGTTCCTGTAGAATTGTGGGGTCACTGTGACACCATCCGGGTTCCTATCTGTTTTTATAGAATTGTGGGGTCACTGCGACACCATCCGGGGTCCTTTCTGTTCTTATAGAATTGTGGGGTCACTGCAACACCAGGTGGGGACTGTAGAATCCTCCTAATGAAAAATGTTGGTCCTTGCCCCAAATTCATGCACTTGAAACAGGCCTGAGTGTACCAACTGAGAATTGGTCTTCTTGCCCCCCCCCCCCCCCCCCAGTTTCATGATCTATGGACTGAAGGCGATTCCTTTTCAATCTGGTGCAGCTGTGACTTTGTAAAAGAACGTTCTGAATCTAATGCTACGCTCAAAAAAGAAAACAGTCGCACGATTTAGTGAAGTTATCAAAGCTGGTGGCAGGACCTTTTAGAGGACCATACCCCTAGAAACGTGTCCCCACTACTTTATTGAGGTTTAGGTCACTGACCAGGAAGAAGACCGCACTCCAGAGTTTTCATTTCCCCAACTTCATTACCGGCATACTAGTTCTGCTCACTGACACAGAAGGTATTGAGGCCCAGCTTTGCAGAAGGAGGTCCGCAGTGTCAGTCCTTGCATTTCTATCAGGACACATTTCCTTTGGGGACCGAGTTGCTGTCCTTATTTCTTTTGGTGCCAAGACTCTCTCGGCCGACCAGGGAAGAACCGGCCATGTTGGTTTATTTCTTGGCTAATTGCTGTTGTTTCTTCCAAGATTGGCTGGCACCAGCTGTGTCTGGCTGGGCTGTTCCTTCTTGCTTGCCTTGATATAAATGTGCCCTCTTGGGAATTCTGTGCTTTCATATGTATGGCAAGATTTTTTTTTTTTTTTATTAATTCTTTTGGTAGCTGAATTGTGGAAAATCAGTGGATTGCAGTGTGATGTCTATGGCCTCCATAGAGTTAACTACATATCATAGATGTCATATGTCCCTGTTTACGCAAGACATTCCCCCCATTGGAAATGGTACTGATCCCCCCCATGTCCACAATGTGGCCAACTAGGCAATGGCAGCATGGTAGAGAAGAAAAATCTGGTTGGGGCGCACATCCAATAAAATCACTTTTATTTGGACATATTCAAAATAGACACTCCACAATATACAAAAGAGGGAACATCACACTCCAGCTAACGCATTTCACACCACCATCAGCACTTAATCATAGGCAATGGTATCAAATTGGTTGCCAAGACAAGCGATCTCCAAAGCCCACTGCTATTTTCTCAGTTTTTGTGTAGATCAGACCAGGGGCGGACTGACAACTCATGGGGCCCCTGTGCAATGGGGGATCATGGGGCCCCTGTGTCCTTGCCCAAACTCAAAAAAGCCTATGAAAAAGGTACCAGGGGCATCTCATGGGGCCTCCTACTGACCCCGGGCCCTTGGGCAGTGCCCGAGTTTCCAAATGGTCAGTCCGCCCTTGGATCAGACATTTGTATCCCTTATCCTATGACAGAGTGCTTCAGCCTTTTAACTGACCCTGCCATTCTGTGATATTACCGGGTGTAGACCACTGCTGGTCTTCCACAATTGACCATCAGCCAGGAGTAGAAGAGTCACCACTTACCATCTGCACCACAGAGGAACAAACTGAGAATGTTCCTGTAAGCCATGGCTATGATCCCAACATGATCTGTAGATCACAGATTCGAGGAGCACGCATTTTTAGGCCTGTGAAAGGAAGAGAGGAGAACTGCTAGACATCACCAGACTTAAGGTAAGAATACACGATTAGAAAATCGACCGATCGGTCATCCAACGACCGAGAGGCGTTCGTTGGTCGAAATCGTGGCCCACATTAACCAATCTAAAAAAATCATTTGTTGGGCAATACGTAGTGTTGACGTCTTCCGTACAAGTGGAAGTGATGCAGTGTGCATGTGACCTTGTAGCCACGCCCTTCCGGCCAGAATGAGCGATATACACAATTACCAGCAATGAGTATAATATAGTGTATTACATTACCTATATACTGTACATAAATAGTGATATATAAAATACAGAATTCTTGTTTAATTATCTCATTAGGCCAATCTGCTTTTAACATTTGGATTTTTCGTTCGTGTTTCCGAAGATTCCTTGGACATAAACATCCGGGTCATCTTCTGTTTCCGCTCATGCATGATAGCGCTTGATAGATTTTTTTTGTAGTACCGTCATACCACCGCATAGAAAATGGGTCGTCCGTATGCGAAACGACAACATTTTTCACTATTGTTTTTTCGTTCACAATATTGTTATCGGTTAAAACATCCTGCTCATCAACGAAGAGAATATCGTTTGCTCAGTGGGTCCGCCAAATTTTTTGTATGATTTTCGTATTGTGTGTATGGGGCATTAGATTGGGGCAAAATTCAATTTGATCAACTGGCTTTAAAGTAGAAGCATCACCTCCAGGTTGTGTTGTGATCATGATGTGTGTTGTGTCTCATCTACACGTATGGTGTCAGTAACCAGATTTATCAGTTTGGAGCAGTCTAAAGAGTGATAGAGTAGATTATTATTATACAGGATTTATGACAGAATGGCTGGGGTGAGCACAGTGCTGGATCGAGGGACAGGTGAAAGGCTGTTTTTTACAGTTTTCGTAGCTGCATACTTTTTATTTTTTTACAAGAGGCTGGAGAAGCACTTTAAGTGGCAAAACTTACCTTAAAACGAAGCCCTCCAGCAGCGCACCGTCACCGCTGCAGAGGCTTCCATCTTCAACCGGTCTTCCTTCTGGGTTTACGAGCTCTAGTCATCTGGCTGCGTGATCCGCGATGATGTCACTCCCGCGCATGCGCATGGGTGTGCCGTTCCTTCAGAGTGCATGTGCTGTTGTAAGAAGAAACCGGATATCTCCTAAATGGTGCACGTTTAGGAGATGTTCTTTTTCCCTACAGGTAAGCTCACCTGTAGGGAAAAGTAACAAAGTGGCTTTACTTTAAGTAGTGGTTGTGTATGAGTTTTTTTTTAGAATAATGATTGAAAAATGTGTTGATAAAAGTAAACTTGTTGTATGACATAGGCAAAGAGCAGTTACCAACCTGAAGTCAGCTTTCACTAGTCTGTCCTAAGCTTCACTTTCAACATCCTCTGCATGTATCTGAAATAGCTCATGGATATCTTATGTCTTACCACTTCCAGAGATGGCGTTGCCCAGGAGCGAGATGACGTCGCCCAGGAGGGAGATGACATCGGCATGCAGAGGGACGCTGAAGGAAGGTGTTATCACAATGCAGACCTCACATCTTTCCAATGACCTGCTATCTGCTCCAGAACATGCCAAGGTCAGCGCTGACTGCACTATATTCTCTTTTTTTTTTATTTTTTTTAATTTTTTTTAAGGGGTTTCAAGCAGAATAAAAACCTGCAATAGACATGGTCATTTTCAGTCCGTAGTCCTAGTGGAGGTCTTGGGTTCAGTAGGTGAGACAGAACTTCCAAGATAAGAACAATCAATGCTCCAAATAGGGAAACTGGTGTTTTTCCACTCAGAGCTAAAGGATAACTAAACCCAAGAGCAACTTACAAGTCCTTAAAAGTACTGGTTGCATTAGTTTTCTTTTTTTCAGCAAGTACAGAAAATACCTGTTGATCTTGCCATGAATGCAGTGTCCTTGCCACATATTGTGAGCTGAATATAAGCAAACTAATTTTAGATTTCTTGTGTAAATTTCTAATCTCATTATCCCCCATGTATTGAAGAGGAATGAAAGAGGCCATGTTTGAAGTCCAGCTTGTATGACCGCCATGGCACCTTCCATAGATACAGTAGAAAAGTGAGCGTGGCCACCCAGGGACAGGAATTAAGTTATTCACAGGATCACCAAGGGAGAACAAAGGGAAAACGACCGTGAATAAAGAAACGAATGCAGCCATCACGTTTATGGACTGGTATGCTGCTATATATTACATTTTTGTTTTAGGGTTTAGATACACTTTTAGGTACCCTCAGATAACCAATGACTGGAATGGGGTCAGATGTTCCCAAGCGATATTCAGTGGGAAAGTCTGGGGAAACCTGTACATATGCTTTTTTTTTTCATCAGATAAGTAGGCTATATCCAGCTTTTTTACATATACATATTATTATTATTATTATACATGTAGCATTACCCCCTTAAGAGTTGCTGAAGATTTGGGTCCCCCTGTAGTCCTGCACAGCCAGGCAACATGCATTTTCACATAGTCTTGCATCCAGGAGTCAGTAACCAGTCCTTGAGCTTTGATTTTGTAATTCTTTAGGGGATTTGATCTGGGATAGGGTTAGGGGTACGGGATGCCCAATGGGACTGTAAACCTGAGGACAACATCCTGGAACAATTTACAAGTGTTCAAGAAAAACAGTCTCTTTTGGAGAGCTAGCCAGCATCTCCTGTAGTACCACCCCAGACCCGAGATACTCCTTCTCCAGCTGTTCTGGGTGAATCTCTGAGCAGGGGATCCAGTGTCTGCCACATGAATGGTGAAACAGTCCTGGGTGGCAGGCTAATCCAGTTTTCGAACAGAGTGCCTTCTTCCCCCTATTTGTCCCAGGGGGTGCAGGTCTACTCAGTCAGTCATTCTCCTGTGCTGCTGGTGGGTCGGTGGCTGCTACCAGGCCTTCTAGCTGAGCCGCTCCTTCCTTGCCTCACAGGTGTCTCTCTCTCAGGGGGCTGGTGAAGTCCCGAGCTTTCTTCCTTCCAAGGTCCTCTGCCTGTAGGTGAGCCCCTCTCCATCTGGGCCCCTTCCCAGGCTCCTGCTCTCCAGCCTCACTTCGTCTACATCTTCCACTTGAACTCTTCTGCTGCTGAGCAAGTATAGTTACTCTTAAATGCTGTACTGGCCCCTTGCCAAGCCTCCTGTTGGGGATTGGCCAAGATCCTCTAAGAGTACAGACCAGCCACTCCTCACATCCGTCCACTGCTCCTAGATCTTTCTCCAAAGTCCTAGAGCAGGGGGAAATTCCAGAGAGCTGAAATGCAGAGCCTCTCAGCTCTGACCAAAATTTGACCTTCTGAGTATTGCACCTAGGCTGCTAGTCAGCCTCTATTTAGCAATTGAAGCTACAGCTCCCCCCTAGCTAACTAGGAGGGTGCTACATACAGTTGTGTTCCAAATAATAGCAGTCAGACATCACTAACCTGATCAATCACTGTTTTTGGTAGAAATTATATTTCTACATGGCAAATAATTTACTAGCAGGTGTAGTAGAGTAATAGAAATCCAACAGACCCAACAGTCATGACATGCATGCTGCTGATTCTGTGTAATTGAATCACTAATTGAAAGGGGCATGTTCAAAATAATAGCAGTGTGGAGTTCTATTAGTGAGGTCATTCATTCTTTGAAAAACAGGTGGCAATTATTGCCCTTATTTAAAGCAAAGAAGGCAGCAAATGTTGTACATGCTGGTTACAGTGCATTTCTCTCTGAAATTCTGAGGAAAATGGGTTGTTCCAGACATTGTTCAGAAGAACAGCGTACCTTGATTAAAAAGTTGATTGGAGAGGGGAAAACATATAAAGAAGTGCAGAAAATGATAGGCTGCTCAGCTAAAATGATCGCAAATGCTTTAAAATGGCAACCAAAACCTGAAAGACATGGAAGAAAGTGGAAAAACTACCATTCGAATGGATAGAAGAATAGCCAAAATGGCAAGGACTCAGCCAACAATCAGCTCCAGGAAGATCAAAGAAGGTGTAAAGTTACCTGTGAGTACTGTTACAATTAGAAGACGCCTATGTGAAGCCAAGCTATCTACAAGAAGCCCCCGCAAAGTCCCACTGTTGAAAAAAAGACATGTGCTGAAGAGGTTACAATTTGCCAAAGAGCACATTGACTGGCCTAAAGAGAAATGGCGCAACATTTTGTGGACTGATGAAAGTAAGATTGTTCTTTTTGGGTCTAGTGGCCGGAGACAGTTTGTCAGATGACCCCCAAACACTGAATTCAAGCCACAGTACACTGTGAAGACAGTGAAGCATGGTGGTGCAAGCATCATGATATGGGGATGTTTCTCATACTACGGTGTTGGGCCTATTTATCGCATACCAGGGATCATGGATCAGTTTGAATACATCAGAATACTTGAAGAGGTCATGCTGCCTTATGCTGAAGAGGAAAAGCCCTTGAAATGGGTGTTCCAACAAGACAACAACCCCAAACACACCAGTAAACGTGCAACATCTTGGTTCCAGACCAACAAGATTGACGTTATGGAGTGGCCAGCCCAATCCCCGGATCTTAATCCAATAGAAAACTTGTGGGGTGACATCAAAAATGCAGTTTTTGAGGCAAGACCAAGAAATAGAGAAGAACTGTGGAATGTAGTCCAATCATCCTGGGCTGGAATACCTGTTCACAGGTGCCAGAAGTTGGTTGACTCCATGCAACACAGATGTACACTGCTGTATAAGCACTGTTTCTGAGAACTGCTTCTCAGAAACAGTGCTTATACAACTAAATATTCATTAAGTGATTCAAAGGAAAGCAAAATCTTCAAACATTTTTCAGTTTATATAGTGAATGTTTGAGTTTGTAAAGAAGAATACAAACACTGCTATTTTTTTGAACAGTCTAATATTCACTTTTCTTCAATTTTGTTAGAGGAACAACACAAATTTGATCTATTTTTCTTCATGTTTTGATTTGGAATAGAATGTGTAGTGTTCCCAATGCATTTGTGTGTATGGAAATAAAAGCTATTAGAAGGATTTTGAGCTTTATTCACTTTTTTCAACACACTGCTATTATTTTGAACACAACTGTACATATACAGATTTGGTGTGTGTATGGGCATATTTATTACTAAAAGACAGAAACAAAACTAAGAACCACTAAAATATAAATTAATGTTGTATTTTCTTTATAATTTATTATGTTAAATTCTAAAAAAGGTTTTTTTTAAATATTTATTTTTATTTTAATTGGATAAGTAGTCATTATAGTTGCCAAGTACCAAGCTAGACCACCAACCTTTCTACTGCTGTGCTTTAAAACAGACTTGAATAACAAGAGAAATCAAATTATACAGATGATCAATGATTCAGAAACGGGAGGCACTTCCTTTGTCAGTTACACAAGAGCTGCCAACAAGCATGCAGTCAGTGCTGGCTTTCATAATTGGAAGTGTGGCAGGTTAGAAAATACGAAGGAACCTCACTGTTGCTGTTAAAACCATCATTGGAAAGGGGACTGCGCCATTGTGGGCAAATCCAACATCAAAACCGAGCAGGACAGGGCCTGATCACATTATAGCCCATAGCTTAAATAAAAGGCAGTGTCTGCACTTAGCATGCAGCGGTTTTCATTTTTCTTTTTTCAAGATGAGGGTCCATGCACGCTGGCTTAAAAAGACAACAGTTCCCAGAAAAAAAAGCTAATTTTGATCGTTTTTGTGCTAGTGTTTAGGAAAACTCTAAAAAGCGAAACAGAAGGGATCTTTTACTGCCTCTAAATGTCTTAATGTGCTTGGACACGTAGGATAACATTGAGTTGCTTCTACAGGCAAAAGCAAAACTCCCGTGAAAGGAGCATTTTTTTAGCCAGTGTGAATGGAGCCTAATGGTCATGTGACCATAATGGTGTAGGCACTGCTCTATAGAGAGACGAATGTAAATGGTCTTGTGTCCGTTTAAACCCGCCTACATTCAATCCAACCTGCTAAACACAAGTGAAAGGGGATCCATTCTCCTCCGTCTGGGCAAATCGAATCAAAGGACAGTTGGGTGTAAACAGACAGCCAGTCTGTTTACATCCGACTTCCCATAGAGCAGAGTGGGCTGTGTCTACTCTGCCTAAAGTGACACGGACCTGAAAAGGGCCTTACAAAAAGGGTAAAGTCAGTATAACAGGTCTATGGGGCCTGGGACAGTATATATATTGTAAGACAGAAAAGTGCAGGTGGTAGTAGGGCAATTATTCTGACTTAAATATACAACATATAATATTCAAAACAGGCAGAGCGTGGAACATGAGAAGCTGGCACATGCTGCTATCAGGTGACAGGGATACACAATTGACTGTCCCCATTGTGTAAAATGAGACGGATGTCAGAAGGAATGAAGTCAGCATTGCTGGTCAATGGACACCTTACCATTTTCTTTCTGTATTGATGTTTCAGGTCAAAGAATATTATTGACCTCTTTCTCTGCAAGTCCATACATGTCCTGTAATGCTGTGTATGTACAGATGTCTATTGTTCTTTGTCACACCTTCATGAGGAACTGTAATTGTTTGCAGCAGTTTCTGATTCCAATGATCCTTGCAGTTATTATGTTACTGTACTTTAACTTGTTCTTCCTATCTGCTTTATGCTGTGGGGTTGTGGCTTTCCTTTAAAGCAACTCTGTAGGTTTTTTTTTTATATAAAAGCACCTTTCTGGAAAAAGATCAGTAATACTTACCTGGTCTGTAGGTGGTGACTCTTCTATCTTCTTGGGGAGCTATGGCCACCAAAGAATCTTCAGCATCCAACACACATCTGGGGCTGTCAGACACCTGGTTCCCTACTGCCGTAGTTCCATCCATGGCAACTATGTCATTACTGTGTCATGTAATGACAAAGGGGCTGATGATGATGAAACCACAGTGCCCTATAGGGGACCAGGCATCAGACATTCCCAGTAGCTTTTTGGATGTTGTTGATTCTTTGATGGCCATAGCTCTTCAACAGAGTGAAGATGAGAATTCCTGCCTGCTGAACTTTAATAATCAGTATATCTGAAAATTTTAACTTAAAGTGTTACTAAACCCACAACAGTAAAATCAGTCTGTATATGCAGTAAAGCATGCTTGTTATACTCACTGTGGAGCCTAAGGGGTTAATCCTTTGCATTGTGTAATAAGGATGTTTGATCCTGTCTTCTCTGATCCTTTCTCCTCCATCCATCTGATGATATAGCAGAGCCTTGGGGGCAAGCTGCACATGCTCAGTTTGATGCGTATTGATAGAGACAGTGGGTCAGGGGTTATGAAGCTTCATGGGACAATCAGGAGAGAATGAAAACTTTTCCTACAAGCTTTAACCAGTGCTCCGCTGGACACTGGTAGAAGTCACAAGACTGCTCTAACTGCTGATGAGAAAAGGTATTTAGTAGTTTATATTTACTAAAATAATTGCATTTCCATGCTCTGTGTACTGTGGGAGACCAGAGAGAGCGAATGCAGGGTCCTGGGATTAGTAACCCTTTAATCGGGTTATGGTTTGCCTAGTAATAGTCACTGGATAGTCAATTGACTTTTTCTGTAATGTTGAATACATTTCTTCATTCATCTCAGTGACTTCCTCTGTTCTAATGAGTGCGGGGAACATCCCCCACCCCATTTATAGCCACACGGGCAACTCAGTCACCTCAATCCAATTAGCAAAGCATCAAGAAATGTGTCAAGGTAGGTGTTGATTGAAACTGACTGGAAGCTGTAGCAGCCTGTTCTAATTCCAAAATCTTATGACCAGGAGCCCACAAAGTCTGGGGCACGTGTTAATTCTTAATGCTGCATGACCGAAGGTGTGAGTTATTGGACAATCAATATCTGCCTTGACACATTTCATGATAACATGATTGGACTGAGGTGAAGAGGTTGCCTATGGGTATATAAATACTAGGGTGGGGAGCAAACATGAATCATGGGGCCCCATAGCAAATTTTTGATGGGGTTCCACTTGGATAACCCCCTCTGTAGCAGCTGGCAGTGTCAACTCTGACAATACCCATCATTGATCATAACACAAAGTATGCTTAATTCAAGGCCAGGCAGCAGGAAAACTGTCCGCATATTCAGAATACTAGAAACCAGTGCGTTGGATAAAAGTTATAGTTGTAGGAACAATACTAATAATAACCACAATGATATTTTATGACAAAATAATGCTCCTGCACACAATTACTCTACTATATATCTCTAATCGAAGCTTATTTAAACGTTTTTGTAGATCTACAGACCTCAGCTATTCTATAAGGTTTTTAGCAGAGGAGACACTCTGGGATTTATGATGGCATTAGGCCTACAGGGTTCTTTACAGGCTGTAGCAGATGTTCAGATGGCAATAAATCTGCACTGCTAAAACCACTAAGAAAATGCTTCTAATTGCACAGAGGGGGGTTCTGAGGTCTGACTTCAGTTAGCCTTTCCATACAGAAAGTGTAAAGGTTTATTTTCCTTAACAGCCACATTACTGGGGCCCCCACCTACTTCAGACCCCATAGGGGCTGTGTGAACTGCTATGGTTGTTGTTATGCCACTTATACTGATGTATGTGTTCCGAGTATTCATTAGAACTGAGAAAGTCACTTGGCTTCAACAGTACAGAATACATCAGATTTAAGGTAACTAACTACTACTACTAATTGTTAAGAAACATTTTTTGCAAGACTTTTTTTTTTAACTCATTTTTTTTGAGTATATGCAAATAAAGGAAAATTCACAGAGAAGTATTCTATATATGCAAATAAAGGAAAATTCAGAGAGAAATATTCTGAATACTTCAGAAATTTGACAAGGAAGAGGCGGCATAATGCCAGTTAACATATACCCAAACTATATATTACAGTAGCTCAACCCCTAGAGAAAAAGGGTCATTGTGGTGCTCACCCATGATCTAAGCCAGGGGTCTCCAAACTATGGCCCTCGGGGTTTTGAGAAACTGCAAGTCCCATGAGGCCTTGCAAGACTCTGACACCCACAGGCAAGACTCCCAGGGGCAGAGTCATGATGTACTACTTCAACAGCTGGAGGGCCATAGTTTGGAGACCCCTGATCTAAGCAAAATAAGTTGGAGGGCCAGTGCCTGCAAATAAACCTGTCAACCAAGTCCTGCCTGTTATTATTAAACTGTGTGATGGTCAAGTATTGAATATGGCCACCATAACAATGCACAAGTAAGGGAACTATGGTGTAAAATCCGCTAGGAAGAGGAGAGAGTCTGCAGTGTCTTGTGTATCTATCCAGGGTCCCCAAATTATATAAAACTTTCCCTTTAGCCTCATATGTCAGCTTGTACAGAGGCAAGATTTGGTTAATTAGTTTCTTCCACAAGCCTGTATGCAGAGGGTCAGTGGAAAGCCAGTGGAGAGCTATTAATTTCCTAACGTAATATAACATGAGCCTCAAGAACTGTTTGGACATGGCAGAGATGTCTAGGTCCTCAAACACACCCAATAAACACCATTTAGGGTTGCATATATTTGGGAAATTAAAGGTGTTCGCTATAAAGGCTGTAATACTTGACCAAAAAGGTCTAAATCTATCACAGCACCACAACATATGCAGAAAGTCGCCATTTTCTTTAGCACATTTATGGCATAGAGGTGAGTCCCTCTTACATATATAAAATAAACGCAGTGGGGTGTAATATAGTCTATGTAAATAGTGCAATTGAACAAACGTATCCCTGTCAGAGATCACTACAGAAGGGTATGAATTAAACAGTTCCTGACAGTTTTTTGTCAGACATGTCAGGAATATCTACTAGCCAGCGTGTATGATGTTTAGATAAAGGAGGGGAAGGTTTACTAGACTTATTAGAAAAAAATAATATGTAAAAATAAGACCTGTATGAGTCAAGTGGAGTAGAATCTGTTCAAGTTTGGAATTCGAAAGTCACACCTCTAGGAGCCCAAACTGTCTCTGCAGAATGCCTCAATTGTAAATATTCAAAGTGCGAATGAGCAGGGATCTCCAGTTCCTGGCGAGGGTCAGAAAGGTTTTATACTACCCTGGTGATATAATTGATGTAGATAAGTAAGGTTACACCTTGCCCACAACAGACCATCATGTATTGTGTAAAAATGGGCTAATCTAGGGTTGTACCAAAGGGGCTGGTTAGGAGAGAGTAAATGAGAGCTGTCAGAAAGTAAAGAGCGGCACTAATTTATATATCCACAGAGATATTTTTTAATGTGGCATTGCCCTCAATAGTGGGGGAGAACATGTCTAAATATAAGGTTAGAAAGGGTCTGTAGACCACTGATTTGATTATACTATTGAGTTTTTCCAGAAGCCAACATTTGTTACCATGTACTACATGACTTCATAACATGCAAAGCTTTTTTTTATAGTTTATTGATGTTTATATTTTCTGCTTTCTATGAATAAACATCAATTGTTTAAAAAAAAAAGAAAAAGAAAGGGTCTCCTAAGAGGAAATCACAGCGGCCTCTATTGCCGTGGTAGCATTATTAAGTTGTGGGAATAGCCACCAGTGAATACATACCAACTGGGCAGCGTAATAGTACATTCTAGGGTTCAGTAGTGCCATGCCTCCTGTGAAATAAGAAGTTGTAAGCCTCTAAAGAAAATCTAGCTGTCTTGGGGACCATAGGAAGGTGGATAAAATTGAATCCGTATGTCTGAATATCTTTTTTGGGAACACAGACTGGGGAGTTGGACAGGGTATCTAACAATTTTGGAAGAAAAATCATCTTAAAGAGATTGATATGCCCCAGCAGTGTAAGGGGGAGTTTAACCCAATGGGCCATTTTTGCATGAAAGGAGGAAATAATGGGCAATAAATTGTTGTCATAAAATTTATACAGTGGCAGTTGGACCTCAGTTCCCGAAATATCTAAATGTATACGTTGTCTGCAGTGAGCAATCCAGTGGGAGAGTAAAAGGGAGATCAATGTCCATAGGGAACAAATGTGCATTAGTCCAGTTAACTTTAAAGCCCGAATAGTGGCCAAAGTCTTAAATGAGTCGCAATACTGAAGGTACAGAGCAAGGCGGGTCCAAGAGGTATATTAACATGTCATCTGCGTATAGCGAAACCCATTCCTCCAACTGACCAATCTGAATGCCTCTAAAGGAAGTGGATGCCCAAAGGATCTCAGTCAATGGCCACAGCAAATAGCAGGGTTGAAAGTGGGCACCCCTGTCTAGTGCACCTGTGTATAGGAAATAGGGAGGAGATCTGACCATTGACCCACAATCGAGGTTGCGTATATAAAATCCAAATGATAAAGTCTTCACCAAATCCAAACGTCTGCAGAACTTGAAATGGGTAAGGCCATTGAATGGAGTCAAAGGCCTTATGCATATCCAGGGATACCAGCGCTCTAGGTACAGATGATGTGTTGGGAAATTGTAGAATACTAAACAGCCTATATAGGTTGATATAAGTAGATCTGCCAGGAATGAATCTTGTTTGGTCTGATTTGAAGGACTTATTTGTTAATTTACTTACTAATACAGGCAGAGTAATAGAATTCCTACTATAGAATGATGAATAGGTTGATATATATTCCTGTGTTTTTATTAACCTGGCTCATAGTGGCATATTCTTTGCCAGGCAGTGACCTTCAGGAAATCATCTCTGAACGATGATGGCTCGTTCCTGCCCAAGAAAATCATCCCATCACGTCCTGGAACCAGAAGCCGCTCTACCACTTCCCTGCGTAAAACTGAGGACTGGTTAGCATACAAGCCTTATGTCCAGGTAAGCTGGTGCCACTGAAGAGCTCCAAGCTCTATACCTATTAGATGAATTATGGCTTCTATTCACACTTCCCGCCAACATAATCTGTCTGCTTGACTTCCCAAATCTATTCACCTGCCATGTCTCTAACACAATATCTTTATCTTTTTATTTTACATCACTGAGAATGCATCAGGAAGAGGTGGTAATGATCACCAGGACAAATAAAGAGGGTGAAACTCCCAAATAGGGACTCAGACAGCAAAGAAACCTTACAAGTTGCCAATTGCTACATGCTCTGTCATAAACTATAAAAAAAATTTGTCTTAAAAACACTTTAACCACTTTCCTGCCACCCTATACCAGAAGTACTGCTACAGGTTGGCTGGGCTGTGCAAAATCACACGTGTATATATACACACGTGATTTGCACTTCCGGGTAGGAGGCACACGCCGCCCTACCTGCGCCACTATTGGCGTCTAGGGATGTCAGTCACCGGGTCCCGGCCGGCTATTCCTGGCCGGTACTTGGCGATCATCGGGTAAAGCTGGCAGGGGAGAGACCTGTGTGTATACAACACAGGTCTCTCTCCTGTCAGCATGGGCATGCTGTTTTGTATCTCTCTGCACAGCAAAGATACAAAACGGCATGCCTCCTTAGTAAAACACAGCACACAGTTAACCCTTTGATCGCCCCAGATGTTAACCCCTTCCTGTCCAGTGCCATTAGTACAGTGTCAGTGCTTTTTATTAGCACTGATCACTGTATTTGTGTCACTGGGGATGTCAGTGGCAGTTAGTCAGTTCCCCCTACAGTCCAGAAAAAAGTCTCTGATCGCCGCCATTACTAGTATGAAAAAAAATAAAAATTCCAGTATATAAACCACCATTTGTAGACGCTATAACTTTCACGTAAACCAATTAATTTACACATATTGGGATTTTTTTTAGCAAAGATATATAGCAGAATACATTTTGGCCTAAATTTATGAAGACATTTTTTTTTTTTATTGGATATGTCTTATAGCAAAAAGTCAAAAATACTGTTTTTTTGTTTTTTTTTTTTCAAAATGGTTAGTTTTTTTTGTTTATAACGCAAAAAATAAAAACCGCAGAGGTGATCAAATACCACCGAAAAGAAGTCATAAATGTAATTTAAGTACAGCGTTGCATGTGGAAGGACTGCAGCTTCCCCGGGAGGGAGGAGCCTGGTCATGGCGGCTGTGGGGGAGTGAGCGGCACTAGCCTTCGGCTAGGTACCGCTCACCGACCTCCCTGGTGACCCTTAGGAGCCGACTCACCGGAGTCTGGAGGGCCGTGGAGTGGAGTCCGGAGATCCGGAGATGGGAGCCAGACGGGGGTCGCAGTGACGGGCCGGCCTCTCCGGTCCTTGGTGAGAGAGGGACCCGGACGGCTGGAGAGTGGAGAGTGACGTGGCGGGGGTGTGTGACCGGCCGCGGAGGCTCCCTGGGGAGAGGAGAAAGCCGGCCGGCCGCCTGACTTGACGGAGAGACGCCGGCTTACAGTTAGCGGCTCTCTGATGCCCTCAACCCCCGGCTAACTACTGCCCATAATCCCCAGCTGGCTACTGTCTGTAGCCCCTGGTCTATTGCTGCCTGGGGCCCCCGGCCAGCTGACTCTTCGATTCTGGGTCAGGGAGCCCGGGAGCGCCAGGAGTCCCACCCTGCATCCCTGGGACGAAGCCCAGAGGAAAAAAAAAAACAAAAAACCAAGGTACAGAGTTGGAAGCCCAGAGGAATCCCCCCAGGACAGAGCTGCTGTGAAGACCCTCCCACCCAAGCTTGGAGCCACCATCCGGGGAAGAGAAGGGTGAGTGAGACCAGCTGGGGGCCTATTGTATTGTATAGTGGACTCCTGAGTGACAGTGGGGAACAAGGGGTTAAGGAGGAGAGGGGAGGATTCCACGGGTTCAGAAGAGAAGAGACCCACGTTCCCCTAGGAGAGCACAAGTAAACTCAGTAAACCTGTCTGGATTACAAACCATAGAGGAGAGGTATAACCCCATCTAGAGAATATAGAAGACAAAAGACTTATAGAGGATATAAAGAATAAAGGTCCTAAGGGAGCAGGGCTCAAAGGGTCTCAATCAGGCACGATAAAGAAATTTACATCATATGGAAACATTACGCCAGAAAGGGCCCAAGGCGCAAGCGCCAAAGGGGAAATGGACACTAGCTCAGGAAACAGCCCGAGACTATCACTGGGTATGAACAGCAGTTGTAGCCAACAAATAGCGGATGGCTTGGGACAAAAAGAACTTGATGGTGAACTACAAATACCGAATAAGAAGGAGATGATAGAAATGTTCCAAAGTTTGGAGAAACCGATAAAACATGAAATGACAGTAATTCGGAACGATTTAGGGCATCTGCTAACGAGAATGGAAGAAACGGAGGAGAAAGTTAAAACCCAGGCCCAAACCATAGATAAGCTAAGGAAAAAAATAACCCATTTGGAGAAAACCCAGAAAAAACTGTTCTACAGGATGGAAAATTCGAGAAAATAAAGAAAGAAGGTCTAATCTTAGGGTGAGAGGAATTCCAGAGGCAGCAAAAGGGGAAACATTACATGAACTAGTTAAAAAAATCTTAAACTCCATAAGAGACAGACCTGAAACAGAAGTGATTGAACTGGATGGAGTTTTCAGAATAGGAAAGTTCAAACAAGATACTGAGAGGGAAAGACCGAGAGATATAGTTGGTACAGTTCCAGAAATTTGGGGTCAAAAATGAGATTTGGAAGAAGATCAAGGGAAGATCGTTAATTAAATATGGAGATTTGACTGTTCAAATTTTTGCGGATTTAACACCAGAGACTCTATGGAGAAGGAGATCCCTGGGACCCCTGTTAGAGCAAATGAGAAAACAGAATGTGCAATATAGATGGGGTACTTCAGCATCTCTAATTGGCTGGAAAAATGGGGTAACAGCATACCTGAGATTACCGGAGGAACTGAGAGATTTTTGTGATAGACTGGATCTGCAAAGAATGGAGATAACTGGGTGGGGAAGAAGAAGAAAAAAGGAGACTCGGATGATACGGGAGGGGAGGACTGGCAGCGGGTCGGGGGGAGGGGGAGAGAGGCTCTGGGGTTGGGGAGAGGGGGGGGGAGGGAGAAGTGAGCAAAAAAATATGCTTTTCTTTTTCTCTCTCTTGTTCCCTTGCCCCCCCTAGTATCCCCCTTTTTTGAGGTGGAAGTCCCTCTGGAGACTCCGGTTGAGGTGGGGAAGTAAAGGTTATTGCAGAGCCTTGTAGATAGAGAAAGGGGGGGTGCTAGGGAGGTCGGAGGAAAGGTGAGCCGTCCATGGGCGGAGTCTACGCCCAATATCTTAAATCAACTGTGGAAACAGTTCCACAAATGATTTGTAGGCAGTTTATAAGCCTAAAAATGGGTAGGGGAAAAGTAAGAGAGGGGGGGGGCGGGGGTGGGGGGGGAGATGGGGGTAGGGGGGGGGGGGGGGGGGGGGGGGGGGGAGTGTGGCTAATATTCTGCAAGTCATTCGGTCCTAATAGGAGGAGACGAATTAGAAGAGAGATAAATAAAATCAAGAAGGATGGAAGAAATACAGTTTATAACATATAATGTGAATGGGTTGAATTGCCCTGGGAAAAGATTTAAGTTGTTTAAAGAGTTACATCATAGGGCAACGTCAGTGGTATATTTTTTGCAGGAGACACATTTTGAGATAGAATCTAATATGAAACTAAAATCCAAATATTATCCTACATGGTATTACGCTGACTCTCCAATTAAAAGAGCAAAGGGGGTGGCAATAGGATTGGCAAAAAATATGAGATTTGAGTTGGAAGATAGAAGGACTGACCCGGAAGGGAGATTCCTGTTTTTGAAAGGTAAACTACAGGGAATTGAATGCACACTAGCCAATATATATTGCCCCAACAAGAAACCTGAGATTTTTCTGAAGGGTTTGCTAAAAAAATTGATAGATTTTAAAAAAGGGCGTTTGATAATAGCGAGGGAGATTTGAATCTCTGTATGGACCCACAAATGGATGCAACCTCCCTTGTGCAGAGAGAAGGGGGTAGGTCCCTGAGAGCTTTGAGGAAGGTGATCCACGAGTACCAGCTGGTGAACACCTGGAGAATAATGCATATGAAGGACAGAGACTATACCTTCTTCTCTAATGCACATGAGATATACTCGAGACTGGATTACATTCTAATAGATCATCAACTCATTGAAATGCTGGTTAAAATAGAAATAGAGACAAGAACTTTTTCGGACCATGCCCCAGTCGTAATGAAAATGGGATGGGGAAAAAGGTGGACGGGGGAGGTTTAGGATGGAGGTTAAATGAGGCTCTTCTCTTGGATGAGGATATTGTGCAGAAGATCAGGGAAGAGATTAAGGTATATTTCCAGGAGAATGAAACAGAGGAAGTATCGACAGCTACAGTATGGGAAAGTCATAAGGTATATATAAGAGGAATCCTGATTGGGATGGGAGCAAGGAAGAAAAAAGAAAGAAGAGAGAGGGTTAGTGGACTCTTAAAGGAAATCCTAGAACTGGAGCAGATACACAAGAAAAAAATAACAATAGAAACAAGACAGAAGTTAAGGGATAAAAAAGACGAATTAGAGAGATTGATGGAAGAGGAGAGGAGAAGAGTATATAATAAAGTATTAAGTGAAAGATATAGATGGGGTGATAGACCAGGAAAATACTTAATGAGAGCCCTGAATAAGAAGAAGAACAGGAATTATATAGAAAAGATAAAAAGCCCTAAGGGGGAGATGGTCCACTCAACTAAAGAAATTATTAAAGTATTCACGGAGTATTATAGAAAGTTGTATAACATCAGCCACCAAGGATCACCAAAAGAAATTAGGGAAGGTATTAATGAAAAAAGGAGGACATATTTAAAAAATGCGGGATTGCCAAAGCTTAGTGAAACACAACTGAACTCCTTGGATGCAGAAATTTCTCAGGAAGAAATAGAAGCAGCATTAAGAAGTACAGGGGGAGGGAAAAGCCCAGGCCCGGATGGTTATACAGTTAAGTACTATAAAAAATTTAGTGAAGTACTGTTACCAAAGTTAAAGAAATATATGAATGACTTGGGAGGTGGGATGGAGGGGAGGAGGGAATCCCTTCAGGCCCATGTAGTTCTCATCCATAAGGAAGGAAAAGATCCCTCTCAGTGCTCTAGCTACAGACCAATTTCATTATTAAACACTGATACTAAGTTGTACGCAAAGGTCCTAGCAAACAGGCTGAAAGATCTAATGCCCGAATGGATTCATGGAGACCAGGTGGGCTTTGTTCAGGGGAGAGAGAGTAGAGATAATGGCTTGAGAACTCTGATGCTTATCCAGAAAAGTAGAAAAGGGAAAGCCCCGGTAGTGCTCTTGTCAATTGATGCCGAAAAGGCGTTTGATAGAGTGGACTGGGGCTTTATGATGGACAACTTGGACGTGTTGGGGATTGGAGAGAGAATGCGTGAATGGATAGGTAAACTATATAAGGAGCCCACCGCAATCATCACGGTAAATGGGGAAAGGTCGGAATCCATTGGGATGTCCAATGGAACAAGGCAAGGATGCCCATTGTCCCCCTTGCTGTATGTATTGACATTGGAACCCCTGCTATCAATAATAAGGAATAGTGGAGCGGTAAAGGGAATCCAGATAGAAAATATAGAACATAAAGTAGCGGCCTTTGCGGACGACCTACTGTTTTATGTAGGCAACCCCCGAATAACACTACCAAATATAATGAAGATCCTGAAGGAATATGGTGAACTATCTAATCTAAAAATTAATCCAACAAAAACTGAGATTTTGAACATTAATATACCAAAGAGCGAAAAAGAAAAAGCTACAAAAAGAATTCCCCTTTATTTGGAGAGAAAAAGATATAAAATACCTAGGAATAAAACTTGCTACCTCATATAAACAACTGTATAGATTAAATTATATTTCTCTGATAAATGAGATTAAGGATGAACTAAAAAGATTAGAAGGAGGAAATCCATCATGGTTAGGACATATAAACCTAATTAAAATGGTAATTATACCTAAAATACTCTATAGATTTCAAATGATCCCGATCAAACTCCCAGAGGCGTTTTTTAAGATAATGAGAAAAATGTTAACAAGATATATATGGAGGAATAAAAAACCAAGAGTATCATATGAAACACTAAGTAGCACTAAAGAGAAAGGGGGGATGGGACTACCTGATGTCAAGAGATATTACAAAGCAGTAATGTTAGCAAGAATTTATGACTGGACTTTTAATCATAAGGGGAAAGGTTGGGTAAAAATGGAAAATGATCTGAGTGGAATTAATTTGAGTAGGATGATATGGGTTCCAGCACATTATAGAAGAATTAAAGAGGGCACAAGCACTTACACCTTAATTGTCTTAAGGATATGGGATAATGTACATAAACACATGAAATGGGAATTCAACTCTATATTAATGCCTCTTGCAAACACGGAACTTTTCCCCCCAGGAAAAGATGAGATATCAGGGAGATGGTTTAAAAAGGAAGATATCCAATTGAGAGACATATTGGTAGAGGGGGAATTGAGAACATTTAAATAATTAAAAGAGATGGGAGGAGATATGTTTACTAAAATAGATGAGTGGAAATATCATCAATTAAAATGTTTTATAGGAACTCTCCCAAAACCCTTGAGATTAAAAAAGGAGTGGAATATGTTTGAAAGGCTATTAGAGACACGTAGAGATGGGAAACACGGTGTTACAAAAATGTATAGAATACTTACAGAACTAGACACAGACACTAAGTTAATTTTCATAACAAATTGGGAAAGAGATATGGGGGTGGGGATAGATGAAGATCAACAGAATAAGATATTTAGATTAGTTCACAAGAGTGTTTAGTATGAGAGACGTTGAGATTAACTATAAATGTTTGACACAATGGCATATTACACCGAGCACTGAGCACAGGATGAGGGGGGAGAATTCAAAAATGTGTTGGAGAGGATGTGGGGAAGAGGGCACGGTATTTCACATATAGTGGCAATGTCCAAAAATTCAGGTTTTCTGGAAGACAATAGTCAAATTAATAGAAATAATAACTGGAAATGACATAGGATTAAACCCAACCATGTGTCTCCTACATAGTGTTGAGACAACAGTAAATAAATATAAAGAATCAGGTGTATGGTACTACTTGAGTGCAGCAAAGGGGTTGATCCCCAAGTTTTGGCGGAAGACAGAGGTACCAACGGAGGAGGATTGGATCAATAGGGTAAGCCAGATTAGCAGAATGGAAAAATCTTATCATATGCAGAAAGACAGGATGAAAATATACTATTCACGATGGGAAAAATGGGAAAAATCGGGATTGAAAGAGAAATATAGAAAACTCTAAACTAGGAAGTTATTCGAAGTTACTGGGCCTAGAGAGACTGGAGATCTTGCAGAGGGGAGGGAGGGGGGGAAGGGGGGAAATGGTGGGTTGGGAGGGAAGGGAAATAAAAGAGGTAAATAGAAGGGACAGACTAGAAATGTATTGATATTTATATGTATTGTGTCTCTTCTTATGGAAATTTTTTGTAATAATGTGAAAAATTAATAAATATTTAAATAAAAAAAAAAAAAAAAGTACAGCGTTGCATGACCGCACAATTGTCAGTTAAAGTAACGCAGCACCGTATTGCAATGGCCTTGTCAGGAAGGGGTGTAAATCCTCTCAAAACAAAACTTCAGGAATTGCAGCACTTGCTAAGAAGGGGTTGATACCAAAAAGATATATGCTTCCTTGTGAAGTTTTTTATTTACTAATTACATTTTACTAATTACTGAGCACTATACTCTGTGCTCTGACAAGAGAGATGTCCTCTCCTATACAGCAGCCACACTGCCTGCCCCCCCCCTCCCCTCCACTGTCCATTCACAGAATACTTTTGTATTTTATGTATAGGTTCACATAATACAAATCCTTCCATGATTGGTCAAGAGGAAAGAAGGGGCGGGCAGAACAACTGCAAATGAGTCTGCAGCTGCTGTATCAGAGACTTGATAGTCCAGTAATGGAGCTTTCAAAGTATAGCAATAGCTGTACTCCCAGTGCTTAATAAATATGGAAATAGTAAATAAAAGATAAGAGATATGTTAATGAAGTGGCATACACCTTGCTGGACGTAACCTCTCATAGGCCAGCAGATTTTTAAAAGTGTTGTAATTCCTTGAGTTCCACTTTGGTCATGTAACAGCAGTGTGCAAACTGCTAAAATCCACCCAATCACAATCCATCTTTCATTGGACTTCTTTCATCTAATTGGTTGCTCTGGCTTACTGCACTTGGAACATAATCTTTGGGGGTTTCTGCTGCCATACTAAAGCCGGCAGGTCTTGTGTTATTGAATTCCTCTGTTGTTGCCTGGGGGGGGGGTTGCCAAACTGCTTTTTTTTTTTTCTTCATTATTTTAGCTGATAATGGATGCAGAAAATCAGAAGATCAGTGCGAAGACACAGTGTGTGTTGGATGCAGAAAATCACTATAACCAGGTAACTTATAGCTAGAACTGCAGGAAATAGAGCCATCATTCCATTTCTAATGTAAATGCAGAGCAAAAAATGTAAAGGTATATGTGTGCAGAGCATGCTGGGAAATGTCTCAGGTGACAAGAAAAACCTCAGAAGCGCTTGTCAGACATGTAAAAAAGAAGGTTATAGACAAGGCTTTTTTTCAGCCGGAAACCGGGGGAACGCAGTTCTGGCACCTCCAACACTGAATGTATGTAATGGCAAGGGGTGTTGGGGTGTGCTGGAGGGTCTATTGATGCTGACAGCTGGGGGATCTGTTGTTGCTGGGGAGGGGGGAATCTCTTGATGAGGGAGGGGGGCCAATTGTTGCTGAAGAGTCAATTGGTGCTAGGAGGGATCTACTGTTGGGGGAGGCATCCGTTGTGGCTGGCAGGGGTCAATTGTTGCTGAGGGGGTGTTTTGTTGCTGGCAGCAGGGGATCTATTTTACGGCTTTTTATGTTATGATTAGCAAATTCCATACAAATTACTTCCCACCACAAAATGATACTTTGTTCTGTATTCTGGGGTATTGGTAGGTGGGTATGCGGTGGAACCAAAGGATGGTGCTTGTAGGTGGGGCAGGGGGTGGAGACAACGGGTTACTTGGAAGGTGGGATTTCCTGCACCTATTCTCTGAGAATAACCATTTACATTAGTAGTGTGCATTAAAAGTAAAATTTAGCAGTGATGGGACAAGGTCCTTTAGTACCTAAGCAAAAAGACCAAAAAGTGTACCACTTCCCCAACGAGCTTTGAACTACTTTAGCAGCATAGGGTATAGGTCCTGCACTTCTTGCATCCCCCCCATTCCCTACACAGCACCACATCTTTTCCTCCAGTGCCCAATGTGGCCCCTCTTTCTTTTTCTAGCCTAAATCCCAGCTCTGTGTCTGTGTGTGTAGATAATTATTATTATTATTATACAGGATTTATATAGCGCCAACAGTTTGCTCAGCGCTTTACAATATGACGGGAGACAATACAGCAACAATACAGTTCAATACAAGAGGGTTAGGAGGGCCCTGCTCCTTGGAGCTTACAATCTAAGATACTTTATGAACTCCAGTATTACGTATTAATCAAACACCACACTGCAGTTTTCGAAAAACTGCAATTGTTTTTGTGAAAATCATCTTTTCATTGTCCCTACCTGCAACACATGTGTAGGGTACATTTAGAGATGTAATTGGCTCCTTGTATTAAGATAAAATGGAAGAATTGAAATTAAATTTAAGTTTTTTTTTTTAATGTATTTTTTCCTCGTGTGTTAGTGTCTGGATGATTATGTGAAACAGGCAGAGTGCGCTGACCTGCGCAGGAAGGAGATGCAGCATAAGAGGTGGACGGAACGGGTGGCTGAGCCACTACAGAAAACCATAGAGAGCTACATAGACAGCCAGACCAGTGAAGACATAGAGAGGAGAAGGAGATGGCTTCTAGAACAGTACTTGGAATATTGCAACAAAAGGGTAAGTCCCAATATACACCCACCTGCCACTTTATTAGGTACACCTTGCTAGTGCTAAGAAAATATAAAAATAAATGTATGTGCATGCAGATGTAGGATCAATGTGAATTTGCGCTTTACCTATCAAGAAGCTTGATACTTGCCTTGGCCACCAAAAGAAAGGTTGTGAATTTGCGTTTACATTGAAATGACCCTCATATAACAGTGCTGGGTGCTTGAGCAGCCAATTAATAGCACTGTTACAGAAAGCGCATTACATTTCCCCTAATACCTGCTACTACCAGGTATTTGTCTTCACTCCCAGGAGCTGAATGGAACGGCAACAAGACGGTGACTATAAGCTGCTGGTGGATTTTATAACAATAAAGTGCGCTGCTGTTATAAATATATGCTGTGTCCTAACATCCAGAATAAATGAAGATTCTCCTATGTGCATATGTGTTAAAAAATGATGCTTAAAAACATTTCCACATGTGCAAACAAGCAAGTGTGACAGAATATAAATCAATTGACTAATATTGCAAACAGTCCGTGTTTCCTTGTGTCTGTATCACTTGTGACTCTATGCCAAATTTGCTGATGCTCCCAAGACAAGGCACATGCAGACCTCCAACTCTCCAAATGTGAAATACAGCGCCTCCACGCAGACCTGCACTCATTGGGCAACTTTAACCCTCTAATAATAGGTCAAATTGTGCCTTTTGGGTCTGCCTACATGTTCCAGTGACCATGCAGCCAGGGGATCACAGATCGATTGCATGCAAAGAAACAAAAAAAGAGAGCGCACTGGCCTCTTCCTTCCTTCTTAGCCTCTTCCTCAAAGCCAGGCTAAGCCTCGAAACGCGTCAACCATTTGGAGGTCTACAAATCCCAACACAGATATCATCCAGTTTGATTGAACCTTGCTGTGCCTTTTGATATTTTATCCTTTGTGAGTATAGCACCACCTTTTATAAAATAAATTAATTTTTAAAAGTAATGGACAAGGCCAGTGTGCCCTCTTTTTTGTTTCTTTGCATGCAGTTCATTTGGATTCCCCTGGTCTGGTGAGGGTAGCAAGGCGTGCATCTTCTAGGCATCCTATGTGTGGTTATAGTTGCTGTGGAGTCTATCGTCCAGCATAGGAGTAGAAGCTTATGCTATTCTTGATCACAGATCGAAAACTGCCTTCTGTAATATTCCGCTCCAATTCAGGCAAAATAATGCCACAGAGAAGCCATCACTGGACAGGCAGCTGATTTATTAAAATTTACATTCACACGTATGCACTTGTATTTGTGCCCATAGACTGACACTAGGTGTTTTCAGCCTTACTAGCTATAGGAGAAGATGGCTGCCATTGCCTCAGAAACTGGAAACAGAATGCATTCCACCACCAGGATGTGACTAGAAGTAACTGAATATAACATTTATAGGTAAAGTTGATCCAGGGAATATCTGATTGCCTCTCGCGGGATCAGGAAGGAATTTTTTTCCCCAGCAGGAGCAAATTGGATCGTGCTTTGCTGGTTTTTTTGCCTTCCTCTGGATCAACTGTGGGTATAGGATTATAACTTTTTTTTTTTTAATGGTTGAACTGCATGGACTTTTGTCTTGTTTCATCCAGACTAACTATGTAACTGGCCTGACGCGTTTCGTCCAGATTGAAAGCCTTGTACACACAGTGGAATCACATTTACAGCACTGGTGGTGCAGGAGGTCATAGTTTAAATAAAGCTGCTGGTGCAGCCAACATTAAGTGAACTTGGTTTGTCTTGCATGGATAAAGCACAGGCTCATTTTTAAGTTCTTATGCCAATTCAGTTACACTTCAAAGCTACCGTGGTTGATTTACTGAAGCCAGAGAGTGCAAAATCTGGTGTGGCTCTGCACAGAAACCAGACAGGTTTTTTTTTTTTTCCCGCCAAAGCATAATTGAACAAGCTGAAGTTAGATCCCGATTGGGTACCATGTACAACTGCACCCGATTTTGCACTCTCCAGTTTTAGTAAATCAACCCCACTGTCTGATTAGCTGCTAAGCATTATACAGCTGCCCATCCTTATTCTCCACTAAAGTGATTTAGGGATTTGGAGCTTAGAGGTATCTGATAATATAATGCAGCATTGTTTTCTGGAAGTAAAATATATAGATCTGTGCTGTGAACTGTATTGGCCTCCATGGAGTAGAATGAAGTACAGTCTTGCCAGGACATTAATATTCCTCTAACATTCATGTCTTTCCCCTCCAGGGTAATGCATTTATGAAAGATTATGATTCCTCCGAGTACGACCCGTTTATTAATCGCCTCTGCAAGCACTACCTCCGGGTAAGAGACAACTAATAGGCCTTGTAAATGGCTTTCCCCGGAGAGCAGCCTGGCAGCAAAGCTTTAACCATGAACACTCAAGAGCTTGTAAGGCTGCATAACTATGTGCAGATTGTTGTAACCACAGCAGCCAATGACATTTCAATGGTGTATTGAGTCAAAGATTATATTTAATTGGTTAATATGGATAACAACAATTGTCACAAAAAATCCAACTAAATAACAGCACACACCTATCCCTGAATGCTAAAGCTACATTAATATACCATTTAAAGAGCGGACACGCAGATACTCACGAATGCCAGGTCCTGACCAGTTTTCTCTTTAAAAGCAAGTTTTCAATTTTTAGAATTGGTAAAGCTGAGCAGCTGAGAATTTGTTTTCTCTCTTTGTACTTTATGTAACCTAATGACACAAGCTTGGTAATTCTAAATGTGTTTTCTGTCCTATAACGGCATACTTAAATCATTAGCAACACATTCTTAAATCTGTATATATTGAGTATAAATTGAAGTAGTATTAAACTCTGTTTTTTTTGTGTTTTTTAGCTTAACACATTGAGCACAATAAAATAAATATTCCACAGTAAACAGTTTGTTACAATTCTTACCCCAGTACCTGTAATTTACAAGTTTCAAAGTTTCTGGCTCCTGCTCTTTCAGTGCTGTTTCCCTGAACTTCTGGTCTACACAGGAAAAAGTGGGCAGTGCAGTCTCTATAGTCAGTATGTTAGCCTGGGGAAGCCTGGGGTTAGCCTTACCATCCTAGGCTCTGGGTGTGTATGTTGATCACACAGTGTAGGGGAGATACAGCTATAGACACTGCATGCAAGGGTGGCTCCATAGGACACTGCAAGAGAAAGGAGCTGCATTGAAATAGGAAACCTGGGCAGTGTCATGGCACCTGCTTAAACAGGAACAAAGATAGGAAAGGATTAACGTGGATCTCCAAGCCCCCCCCCCCTTAATTATTTCTTAACCCCTGCTAATGGGGGGGTTGTCTTCTGCACAATTAAAATACTCACCCACCCAGCGAATCTGGCATTGTCCTGCTGAGATCCTTCTCTGTTTTGCCACTGTTTGGTCCCATTTTTTCTTGTGACATCATCAGTAGGGTGCCAGCTTTTCCAGGTCAGTCAGCAAACCTACTGATGATGTGCCACTAGGCCCGCCCTTCCTACTTGACTGAATTTTATTTTTATATTTTTATTTATTACAGGTACTTACAGTTGTGTTCAAAATAATAGCAGTGTGTTGAAAAAAGTGAATAAAGCTCAAAATCCTTCTAATAGCTTTTATTTCCATACACACAAATGCATTGGGAACACTACACATTCTATTCCAAATCAAAACATGAAGAAAAATATATCAAATTTGTGTTGTTCCTCTAAAAAAATTTAAGAAAAGTGAATATTAGACTGTTAAAAAAAATAGCAGTGTTTGTATTCTGTATTCCTTCTTTACAAACTCAAACATTCACTATATAAACTGAAAAATGTTTGAAGATTTTGCTTTCCTTTGAATCACTTAATGAATATTTTAGTTGTATAAGCACTGTTTCTGAGAACTGCTGTACATCTGTGTTGCATGGAGTCAACCAACTTCTGGCACCTGTGGACAGGTATTCCAGCCCAGATGATTGGACTACATTCCACAGTTTCTTCTCTATTTCTTGGTTTTGCCTCAGAAACTGCATTTTTGATGTCACCCCACAAGTTTTTCTATTGGATTAAGATCCGGGGATTGGGCTGGCCACTCCATAACGGCAATCTTGTTGGTCTGGAACCAAGATGTTGCCCGTTTACTGGTGTGTTTGGGGTCGTTGTCTTGTTGGAACACCCATTTCAAGGACATTTCCTCTTCAGCATAAGTCAGCATGACCTCTTCAAGTATTCTGATGTATTCAAACTGATCCATGATCCCTGGTATGCGATAAATAGGCCCAACACCGTAGTATGAGAAACATCCCCATATCATGATGCTTGCGCAACCATGCTTCACTGTCTTCACAGTGTACTGTGGCTTGAATTCAGTGTTTGGGGTCGTCTGACAAACTGTCTCCGGCCACTAGACCCAAAAGAACAATCTTACTTTCATCAGTCCACAAAATGTTGCGCCATTTCTCTTTAGGCCAGTCAATGTGCTCTTTGGCAAATTGTAACCTCTTCAGCACGTTTTTTTTTTTCAACAGTGGGACTTTGCGGGGGCTTCTTGCAGATAGCTTGGCTTCACATAGGCGTCTTCTAATTGTAACAGTACTCACAGGTAACTTTAGACCTTCTTTGATCTTCCTGGAGCTGATTGTTGGCTGAGTCCTTGCCATTTTGGCTATTCCTCTATCCATTCGAATGTAGTATTTTTCGCTTTCTTCTACATCTTTCAGGTTTTGGTTCAAATTTTAAAGCATTTGTGATCATTTTAGCTGAGCAGCCTATCTTCTGCACTTTCTTTATATGTTTTTCCCCTCTCCAATCAACTTTTTAATCAAGGTACGCAGTTTTTTCTGAACAATGTCTGGAATTATCATCCATTTTCCTCAGAATTTCAGAGAGAAATGTACTGTAACCAGCATGTACAAACATTTGCTGCCTTCCTTCCTTAAATAAGGGCAATAATTGCCACCTGTTTTTCAAAGAATGAATGACCTCACTAATAGAACTTCACACTGCTATTATTTTGAACATGCCCCTTTCAATTAGTGATTCGATTACACAGAATCAGCAGCATGCATGTCATGACTGTTGGGTCTGTTGGATTTCTATTACTCTACTACACCTGCTAGTAAATTATTTGCCATGTAGAAATATAATTTCTACCAAAAACAGTGATTGATCAGGTTAGTGATGTCTGACTGCTAATATTTTGAACACAACTGTATATAGATGTGCTGTCAATTATGCAGTGCTTTTACATATATATTATACAGTCACATCAGTCCTAACCCTCAATAGGCATACAATTTAAAGTCCCTAACTTACATTCATACATACACATACTAGGCCAAGTACTGCCAGGCAGAAGTGCTAACCATTTAGCCACTGTACTGCCCAGGAATGGGAGGCACAATGCTCCTGCATATGTGACGTGTATATCCCAGGAGGCAAAGGGCTCAGAGGGAACGTAATTTGCCTAGGCAGGGCAGGGGGTTGAAGGGGGGGGGCGGGGACACATAAAAAAAAAAAAAAAAAAGGTACAACCCCCCCCCCCCCCAGAACAGCTCTAATTTAAGGGGAGTATGGCAGATTGCTAAAGGGTGAAGATCCACTTTAAATGGTAAAGAAGCTGCATACCCAGTAAGTGGGTAAATCAGCTGCTGACAGTGCTTAAGAACTGATTTATCAGATATCACACATTTTAATATCACTTTAACTGTAGTGTCTCTATAAATCCTAAGCACTGGAATATAGTTCAGTAATACTGGATTGATTTCCGTTTCGTTTTTTTTTCCATGTAGGTTTCAACCCCAGTATTTAAGGACCCTCTCCTCCAGCAGTACCAGAAGAGGTTTGAGGAAGAGAAGGTGGCTCTACACTGTGACACAGGTACCTCTGCACTGGGCACTGAGCCATAATACCCAATCAGTAAGCATCTTTCCATAGTATGGTTAACTAACTACAGAAAGTTGATCTGTATTTGGTTGCTGTATGTAACTGCTTACTTGCCACACTTGCAATCCTGTTGTAAGAATTCACCAGCAACAAGATTGCTAGAAAAGGCATTGCTTCCTTGCCGGATTTGGCTGTAATGTATCACTCCCCTTACTGTCCATAAATGCTTCAAAATCACTTGTGAGAAAAGCAAAGAACTCAGCATCCAGCTAGCAAGAGAGTGCGACATGCACGGAAGTGAGTGTTTACTGCCCCATGTCTTCCAGAGTGATCCTGCCACTGGAAAGTTTTGGTTAGGGGCAGGATCGCTAGTTTGTCGCTGGTGTGGCATTTACCTGTTACAATTAGTTGCCCAGTAAATCCCTAGACATTAAAGTATAACTAAAGGCAAAACATTTTTTTTTTTTTATTGGATAGATTGATGAGGGGTTAGAACCACCGTCCAGTTTTTATTACTGTTTGTGTCCCTGTTTGGAAACTCTCTTGGTTATCCTGATCATTAGTGTCACATGGAAGGAAAGCAAGGATAAATTAAAAATTTGGGTTGTCAACAGAGGAGGAAATGAGTAGAGTTCTTCTAATGGGGGCATCTGTTCCTGCGACAGCTAAGAGGGGGATTTTCCTCACATTGAAAAAATATCCTTTTACTTCCTGTTGAGCCTAGGACAGGGCAGGAAGTGAAATCTCCCCATTGGGATGCACGTTGCAACCCCCCCCCCCCAAAAAAAAAACAATACAGTGGTTTTAACCCTTCTCTACTCTAGCCAAAATGGAAAAAGTTTGGGCTTCAGATTGACTAGGTGTGGCAATTTAATTCCCAGACTGCCCATGGCGTAGCACTATGGTGGTGAGTCACACAGTCATTTGCACTCAAGCGTGTCCTGATATGTTCTAACTTGTACTCCCCTGGGTAGCAGACCTGGTGACTCGGTCTTTATGGAGTAGTGGAAGAAATAATATTCTGGTGCATTATGCTGTTGGCGGAAAATGAGTGACAAAATCTGGAGCAGCGGATTAACATCATATGCTGCATAAAAATTGGCAAAAATGAGAGTGAAACTTTAGCTCTGTTTATAACAGGCATATAGTAAAAATTCTATGAAGAAATCAAATGTTTTTAAAAGGCTTAGATGGCATAAGGAGGGGCAGGAAGATGTCCACGATGATGCAAGAAATGGGCAGCAAAAAATGTAAATGTGTAAAATGAAAAGGTTACTGGAATCCGTTCAGAGGAAAAAGACTTTGACTGACAAGTGGATTTTCCACCACGACGATGCTCCTGCACATGATGTGTTAAGTGTTCGAGGGTTCCTGGCTCAGAAAATCCATTCTGAAACTTAACCAACCACCTTATTCCCCTGACTTAGCACCCTGCGACTTTTGGTGGTTTCCAAAATTAAAAAATGCCTTAAAAGAACACAGATTTGATGACATTCCAGAGATCCAGAAAACATACTCTGCAACATTCCAGAAAATTAGATCCAGGAATGTTTCTGGCAGTGGCAGAGTTGTCTAGATGAGTGTGTTGCTTCACAAGGGGACTACTCTGAAGGTGACAACAGCTGCTAGTGTATAGGTAGGCAAACTTTTTTTTTTTTTTTTTTTTTTCAACAGTCCATTCCGGGAATTAAATGGTCACTCCTTGTACTTTAAAACTGGACTTCAGGCATTCATAAATTCATATAAAATGCCCCTCTCCCAGTTGATAAAGGATGTAATGCTTGTTTTGCCTGGGGGATTTGATAACAGTGGAAAGAGTATTTATCTTATTCATGGTCCTGTGAAAGCTGGTATTGCAGTCCTCCCATCTCCATTACTGGGATGTAAGTGGGCACGCCTTCATCCGTATGTACAATGCAGGACCGGTAGTAGCCGCTGATCCTGCATTGCACATGATGACTTTGATGAGGAGTGCAGCTTTGGGTGAAAGGTCATTACAACAAGAATCGGTGGAGAGAAAAACCAAAGGACCATGTATTAAGATAAGTAATATTCTATTATATCACATCCCCCTAGAAAAAAAAACAAGCATTAAAGTGTTAGTCCACCTGTAGCAACAATTTACAAAAATCCCCCTATGCAATTCCAGATCCCCTGAATCCCTGATCCCCCATACAAGCACTCTTCGTTTTCAAATGCTGTACCTGCTTTCCATTACATATGCAACTGTAGCGTCTCCGCAGACACTGATCAATCCCCATCCTTCCTGCTGATTGCAGGAAGAACTAGTGGCCACCACAGCCCATTAAATACTGCACTGTTTCCCTCTCTACCTGCACCTGGGGCTGGTTCACACTGGAAGGTGTGCATTCCCATGTGGTCCCTTACATTCTGATTTTGACATCTCATTCATTTGAATGGGCTGCCAAATGCACAGAACCACACAGCCAGTGCATGCACTACTTTTTCAGATTGCACCGCACCAAACCGCATGGTAATGCGGTGGTAACATGTGGTTTGGTGTCCTCAAAAATGCACTGCATTTACAAGATGCATGGTGCCATGTACAATTAATGGCACCCACACGTGTCTTGTAAGGGCAGCACATTCACATGCAGTGAACGCACCTTTCCTGTACTGCATGACGGTGTGAACGGGTCCTTTTACACTTTCAATTATTTTAGCTGTCAGGGGTAGGGGTGTATTTTAATGATTTTTGTGAATAACTGGAGCAAGAACTAAATAATGGCATCTTCCTGACCCTTTGGCCCTGATGTGTGAAACAAACCTGTTTTCAGTTTGAGCATCCAATCATGTGCAGTCGTTAAAAGTAGGATTCTCAGCTCCTTTCATCTCTATGTACACTTCAGTAAATCTGGCTTACTAGACTTTAGATTAAGAAGAATGACCATTGCAGACCTGTGTGGTGTCATTTAGTCCTCATGCACACGGGATGTTTTTACAGCGGCTGTTTTTGGCTTTTGATGGGTTTTTTTCTACCGCCAGTAAACCCCCCAGCATGTTATCCTGTGTGTCCATGCACACATAGACTGTAATCAACGTTTTTTTGGCAGGGGCGTTTTTTGTCTGGAGAAAAAAAACAGAACTAGTGGGTTTCTAGTGGTTTTTTTTTTTAGCTGTAAAAACGCTATAATGCTGTAAATCGCAGCAAACCAGCATTTTGGGACTTTTTTTGACCAAAAAAAAATTGGGGGGGGGGGGATATAAAGAAACACAAACGCGAAAAACCGCGGCAAAACACTAATACAAAAACACGAAAAAAACCGCTGAAAAAACTCACATTTTTAACGTGACTTTACACAGCTAACGTTACCAGCGTTATTAAAATGCCCCGTGTGCATGGAGCCTTGCACAGGTGAGTCTTCCAGCAACTGATCTTGTTTTCAAATGTTCATCTTCTCCCAAAGGCAGGCTGTATTCAGCCAATGAAATCAATGAGCTGAACCTGCAGAAACTTCCACGGGCTCCGCTGGGGCGCCAAACCATGAATGGGATCAAGTGGTTGAAGACTCCATTCGGTTACATCGAAAGTGATATCAGGATGAAGAGCAGGTGAGTGTTACACACAGAAACAATGGAGGAAGCCAGTGTGTGGCCTAGAATGAGGAACAACATAAAAGCCTATGTCCAGCAATTTTTCAGTATTTTGTTCTGGCCAAGTGTGTTCTTGGAAACTGCAATATACTGTATATGTGAAATGGTTTGCCTTTGTAACTCAATAAGTCAAATAAATGTCATGTTTACAGTCAATCAATTTACTTACAGTAGATTGAGGTTATGAAGTCATTGCAAGACTTGGTCCATGCAGTACAACACGTCTGAACTTGTAGGCCTCTTCTAACTGATAAACCGATCACAGTGATGCTTTCCTTGGTGCCATGGCAGAGAAATTAGGATTTTTGGTTTACCTGTAAAAATAATTTTTTTGAAGTACAGTTGTGTTCAAAATAATAGCAGTGTGTTGAAAAAAGTGAATAAAGCTCAAAATCCTTCTAATAGCTTTTATTTCCATACACATAAATGCATTGGGAACACTACACATTCTATTCCAAATCAAAACATGAAAAAATATATCAAATTTGTGTTGTTCCTCTAAAAAAATTGAAGAAAAGTGAATATTAGACTGTTCAAAAAAAATAGCAGTGTTTGTATTCTTCTTTACAAACTCAAACATTTACTATATATAAACTAAAAAATGTTTGAAAATTTTGCTTTCCTTTGAATCACTTCATTAATATTTCGTTGTATAAGCACTGTTTCTGAGAACTGCTGTACATCTGTGTTGCATGGAGTCAACCAACTTCTGGCACCTGTGGACAGGTATTCCAGCCCAGGATGATTGGACTACATTCCACAGTTCTTCTCTATTTCTTGGTTTTGCCTCAGAAACTGCATTTTTGTTGTCACCCCACAGGTTTTCTATTGGATTAAGATCGGGGATTGGGCTGGCCACTCCATAACGTCAATCTTGTTGGTCTGGAACCAAGATGTTGCACGTTTACTGGTGTGTTTGGGGTCGTTGTTTTGTGGGAACACCCATTTCAAGGGCATTTCCTGTTCAGCATAAGGCAGCATGACCTCTTCAAGTATTCTGATGTATTCAAACTGATCCATGATCCTGGTATGCGATAAATAGGCCCAACATCGTAGTATGAGAAACATCCCCATATCATGATGCTTGCACCACCATGCTTCACTGTCTTCACAGTGTACTGTGGCTTGAATTCAGTGTTTGGGGGTCGTCTGACAAACTGTCTCCGGCCACTAGACCCAAAAAGAACAATCTTACTTTCATCAGTCCACAAAATGTTGCGCCATTTCTCTTTAGGCCAGTCAATGTGCTCTTTGGCAAATTGTAACCTCTTCAGCACGTCTTTGTTTCAACAGTGGGACTTTGCGGGGGCTTCTTGCAGATAGCTTGGCTTCACATAGGCGTCTTCTAATTGTAACAGTACTCACAGGGAACTTTAGACCTTCTTTGATCTTCCTGGAGCTGATTGTTGGCTGAGTCCTTGCCATTTTGGCTATTCTTCTATCCATTCGAATGGTAGTTTTTTGCTTTCTTCCACGTCTTTCAGGTTTTGGTTGCCATTTTAAAGCATTTGCGATCATTTTAGCTGAGCAGCCTATCATTTTTCTGCACTTCTTTCCCCTCTCCAATCAACTTTTTAATCAAGGTACGCTGTTCTTCTGAACAATGTCTGGAACGACCCATTTTCCTCAGAATTTCAGAGAGAAATGCACTGTAACCAGCATGTACAACATTTGCTGCCTTCCTTCCTTAAATAAGGGCAATAATTGCCACCTGTTTTTCAAAGAATGAATGACCTCACTAATAGAACTCCACACTGCTATTATTTTGAACATGCCCCTTTCAATTAGTGATTCAATTACACAGAATCAGCAGCATGCATGTCATGACTGTTGGGTCTGTTGGATTTCTATTACTCTACTACACCTGCTAGTAAATTATTTGCCATGTAGAAATATCATTTCTACCAAAAACAGTGATTGATCAGGTTAGTGATGTCTGACTGCTATTATTTTGAACACTTCTTATTCTTATAATAAGATGACTTCTTATTCATGACTACTTGGGTTATGATGCCACCTTCAGGTGAATGGATAGTGGTCAGCAAGAAACCCCACCCAGGTATAACCCCATCCTGTTCAGCAAAGCTCCAGTTTTGTAGCAAGCAATGAAGAACAGAGGGGGAAGGATCACAGAGGGGGAGGGGATCACAGAGGGGATCACTGTGTCCTGTGATGTACTCTAAGAAAAGGATTTTACAGGTAAACCAAAATTCCTGATTTCGTAATTATACATCACAGGACTTGATGTTCATGACTATTTGGGATGTGCTAAAGCACTGAAGGTGAGGGTACCCACACACTCAAACCCCCCAAAAACAGAACCGCGGTGAACCTCACCACAACAGTGCCTGCAATACCTTCCGCTCAAAATTAGCGTATATATTTTAAAGAGGCGTGAACATTTACCTGCCAGAACTTAGTAAATGTGTGAACAGAAGAGCAGGTTGCAGCCTTACAAACTTACAGTGGGTATAGAAAAGAATCTTCCCCTTTAAAATTATCACATTTTGTTGCTTTGCAGCCTGAAATGAAGACAGATACAGTTTTTGTTTCATTCAGCTGTATTTACTAGTGCAACTTATAATATCCAAGTGAAAAGATATAACACCAACATGTCAGAAAAAAATTCAAAAACAGAATCACTGAGTTGGAAAAAGGATCACCCTCTGGGTCAGTATATTGTTGACCACCTTTTGCTTTAAATACAGCCTTTAGTCTGTTTGGATATGTCTGTACTAACTTTGCAATATTTATCCACTCTTCCTTGCAGAACTGCTCAACTTCAGGTAAATTTGATGGTGACCATTTGTGGACTGCAGTCATTTAAGTCATTCCACAGATTTTCATTGGGGTTTAAGTCTGGGCTCTGACTGGGCCATGCAAGGACATTCACCTTTTTCTCCTCCAACCACTGTGTGCTCATTTTTGCTGTGTGCTTTGGGTCATTGTCATGTTGGAAGGTAAACCTTCTTCCCATTGACACCTTTCTGGCAGAGGGCAGCAGATTTTCATGAAGAATTTGACAGTATTTTCCCCCTTTTTTTCTTCTATCCTGACAAGTGTTCCAATCCCTGCTGCAGAGATACACCCCCCCCATAACAGGATATTACCACTTCCATGCTTTACTGTAGGCATGGTGTTATCTGGATGGTGAGCTGTATTGGATAACCACCAGACATACTGTTTAGTGTTGAGGCCAAATCATTCAATGTTAGTCTCATCTGACCAGAACACCTTTTTCCATGTGGCCTCAGAATCTTTAACCCTTTCATGCCTAAGGGTAAAACAAATCTAAATGCCTAAGCACAATTCTACAACGTTGACCTGTATTAGTAAAACCGTACATATCATCACAACTACTGTGTACATCCAGGTGGATTATACCTTGATTTTTTTCAAGACAAATTGGGCTTTCATTTGGTGGTAAATGGTAATGGATATCTCCTGATTTTTTTCTTATTATCAAAGGAAAACTGGCCCAAAATAGTTAAAAAAAAAAAAAAAAAAAAAAAAAAAAAATAATTTTTTTTATTTAGCTGTGTGTTTCTTGTTACGACCATAACCTACCACCAAAGAACAACCCAAAATAAATTATCCAGCTCTTGACAATCGCAGCGATACCATATATGTGTATGTTATTTGTTGTTTGTACCCATAGTACAGCCCAGAAACAATAGTGCGCATTTTGATTTTGTCTTATTTTTTTTTTTACCTAAACACACTGACATTAACACTAACTGACACTGATACCAATTTTATTTTAATCCTGACCTTTGACCTTGACCTTTGACCCTGACCCAAACACTAACCCTGGCACTGAACTAGATCAAATCTTGATCTAGGTATTTTTCTTTATTTTTGAATATTTATCTTTTTTTTTTACAAACATTTTTTTTCTCTCTATTCCAGGAGTTAGAGAGATACAATGTACCTCTCTTCTCCATTCATAGAGAGAGAAAAAAGCAAGGGGGCCAGGCTGTACAGTGACTGATCACTGTGATAGCCAATCAGAGGCTATCACAGCGATCATGTGACCCGGAATCGGGGGTCCCGATCGTTAGAACGAGACCCGGGGCTCTCAGTGACACCACAGTCTTTGTGCTGGGAGCGCGCTGAGCGGCACGGTCCCAGCACAAAGACAAGTACACAAATATGTGCCCCCACGGAAAAAAGCCCAGTTCCGTGAGGTCGCATTTTTTGTGTGATGTCGGCGTAAAGGGGTTAACCCTTTGAGGACCAAGGGACGTATTTGTCCCATGTTTTTAATTGCCTGTATCATCTGATTAAGAACTTAAAACTTTTTTTTTTGGTTTGAGTCAAAATATTAGTTCTTATCAACAAACAACAAATGGATCTAGCTTTTTGCCAATTATTTCATGAAATGGCTTAGTTACAGCAACTTAAGTGTACGAACTTTAAAAACAAAAAATTGATTCTTTTGGCGTTCTGTAATCTTATGGTCCTCAAGGGGTTAAGGTGCGTATTTGCAAAGCTTAGTTATGACTGCATGTGACCTTTCTTGAGGAGCGACTTTTTCTTGCAAGCCTGTCATACAAGCCCCATTTGTGGATAATTTGTGATATTGTTGTCACATGCACACAGTGACCACTCTCATCAGTTCCTGCAACTGCTTCAGAGTTGCTGTAGGCCTCTTGGTAGCCTGGATGAGGAGCGGTGTACTGATCCATGGAGGGTCTGTGTTGTACCAAATACCTTCCACTTCTTAATAGACGTCACTATGCTTCTAGGCAGTGAAAATGCCTTTGAAATGTTTTGTATCCATCTCCTGACTTGTGCCTGTCCACAACTTTATCCCAGAGATCTTTTGATAGTGTCTTGCCACCCATAGTTGACTGTTTGCTTCAGAAACTACCAGGGACTGGAATGCTCCAAGAAAGTTCTTTTCATGCTGAGCTAATCAAAATGACCACAGCTGATCACAGTTGAAAGTCAATTTCTTTGTGTGCCATTGAGAAGGTGATTAGCTACACCTGATGGAGTGTACAAGTCATTTTTAGGAGGGGTGATCTTTTTTCCAACTCAGTGATTCTGTTTTTGAATTTTTTTAAACATTTTTCTGACATGTTGGTGTTAAATCTTTCACTTGGATGTTATAAGTTTCACAGTTTAAAATCTGTGGAATGATTTGAAGACTGCAGTCCAAAACGGTCACCATCAAATTTAAATGAACTGGAGCAGATCTGCAAAGAAGAGCGGGTAAATATTGCAAAGTCTAGATGTGCAAAGTTAGTAGAAACATATCCCAAAAGACTAAAGGCCGTTTATAACGCAGTGGTTCAACAAAATACTGACACAAGGGGGGATCCTTTTTCCAACTCAGTGATTCTGTTTTTTTTACATTTTTTTCCTGACATGTTGGTGTTATATCTCTCACTTGGAGGAGTAAATACAGCTGAATAAAGCAAAAAACTGTATCTGTCTTTATTTCAGGCTGCAAAGCAACAAAATGTGATTATTTTCAAGGGGGGTGATTCTTTTCTATACCCACTGTATAATGGAAGCTTGATGATGAACTGCCTAGGAAGGACTAACACTGCTGGAATAGGCCTTGATTGGCAAGGAAAAACCTTGCCCTTGATCCTATAGACCTGAGTATTGAGATAATGAATCCACTGAGAAATAATGGATCAAGAAGCATCCTTACTCTTGCAGTGGCCCTCAGGCAAGACAAACAGGGAATCAGACTGTTGAAATGACATTGGTAAAATTCAAACAGCTTGTACAACATCCAAAGAGCATGCTTCTCCTTAGGATTTAGAAAAAAAGATGGAAACACAATGTCTTGCTTTAACCACTTCCAGTCTGGACACTTTTACCCCTTTCCTGATGACCAGGGCAATTTTCAGCTTTCAGCGCTATCACACTTTGAATGACAATTGCGCGGTCATGCAACACTGTACCCATATGAATTTTTTACCATTTTTTTGAGACAGATAAAACTTTAATTTCGGTGGTGTTTATTCACCGCTGGGATTTTAATTTTTTTTGCTATGTAAATAAAAATTTCCAAAAATTTTGAAAAAAAGTGTTTTTCTTATAAAAGTTTGCCAATAAATAATATTTCATCATAAATCTTGGCCAAAATGTATTCTGTTATCTTTTTAGTAAAAAAAAAAAAAAAAGCCAAATTAGTTTATAACCAAAAATTATAATTTTTTAACTTTTTTTTTTACTTTTTTTTTTTTTTATTATTTTTTATTTTATTATTTTATTTTTTTTACATACTGTCACCCTAGCAGTACAGTGTCACCATGGTGACACTGTACTACTTTTGGGGGGTGATGAAGATTTTTTTTTTTTTTTTACACTGTTTGCTTTACACCCATATAGGATGTAAAAGCAATCATTTCTCTTTCTCTCTGTCTGCATTCTTGCAGCCATTGAGAACTACTGAGTGAGCTGTGATTGGTCACAGCTTGTCACATGGTACAAGGCTGTTGTGAATAGCCTTGTACCATGTGACCTCTGTGATCATTTACAGATTTCACACGTAGTAAGCAATGATGTCACAAGTGACATCTTGCTTACTACTTTGCATGTGATCACTGATTGGCCAATCAATGATCACATGATCGGGACCTCGTACAGAGGTCCCGTCCGATGATCGGTGTTTCACTGTGTCCGGAGGACACAGCGGGCACCGGATTGCAGTGCTGTGCGCTCCCAGGGAGTGCGCACAAGCAGGGTGTAGGGAGGCCGCTTATAAACGGCCACCCGACCCTGCAGTGCCACCGTCTGGCCGTTTATATACAACTGCCAGTCGGGAAGTGGTTAAGTGTAACAAAAAGAAACCACTTTAGGTAGGAAAGAGAACGAGGCCTCAACACCACCTTATGCTGGTAGAGAAACAAACAAGGCTCCTTGCAGGAAAGTGCAGCTAAACTCTGATACTTGTGAGCTGAGGTAATGGCTTCCAAAAATACAGCCTTGTGTATGGAGCGACAAGGGAATCTGTCACAGTTTCAAAAAGAGAAGTGAGAAAAACAGGCAAGATGAAATTAAGGCTCTGCGGAGACCAGGACACACAGGCAAAACATTTCACATGACGTGTTGCACAAAGGCTCTTTTGAAGAAATAAGACACGGTCTCTGAAAAAAAAAAAACAGCCAAGGCTGAGACTAGTCCCTGGCTTGTGCTTAAACGCATAAACCTCTCGACAAAAGAGAAAAAGCCAGAATACCCCCCAACATACAGTCTGGGATGAAACTTATGAACCACATACCTGGCAAAAAAGGCTCTGCATGTATGGTGGTACAATTCCCTGGATGTTGACCATCCTGCATCAAAGAGGGTAGGGATGACAGTCAGAAGCACCCCTATCCCTCACAAATTGGGCTTTAACAGCCAATAGTTTCTTTTACCTCTATACTATCAAAATATTGGTCACATTATCTCCTGATCACACTAGAAATCACTGAAGCAGCGAGGTATATACTGTAATCCTCAATGCATTTCTTAAACCAAAGGTCTACTTCCTCAGGAGTAGCAAGGAATCTGAACATCAGAATAGCATAGTATCATGATTTGGTATACAAACAATAAAAGCATTGTGGGTATGGTCATCCAAAAATTCCCAGAGAGGGGACATCACAGAGGGGGTGACTAGCTGGGGATCTTTATCTTGTGTCATCTTACAGTGTGAACATTCTTCTCCAAAATTCTGGTAGGAACCTTCCCCTTTGAACAGTGGTCCCACCTAGTGATCAGTTGTACCTCCCCACACAGTACCCCAGGGTATGAAATAACCTTCAGTAACCATTCTGCTTTCCTTTGTGTCAACTTCAAAAATGTCCACCAATGGATGAATGCACGCCGTCACCCAAACGCAGTAGAAATACCAGAGAAGGACAAGGATTCAGAATTAATCTGACCCTTCAGGGAGCTATAGCAGGACAAACTGTGCAGGAGGTCCTCCCTACCTGAAACAGGGATTGGGTAGCTCACTCCATCTCTCACCTCTCTGTTTGCACAAGGCTATAGCTTGCTGAGGGTTAATAGGTATGTGAAACCCAGTATGAGAGCACCACCCAGCTGAGAAGAGTGTAGGCCTAAGCCAGAACACCTTTGTGGAAAGTCACTCCAAGATAGACAAATGTCACAATACTTGCTGTGCCTGGCACCTATTGGAGAGGCTGCTGTATCTATGCAGGGCTGTGGCAGTGTAATTCTTCATTGCTGGAACCAATCTGTGTAGTGGTGTATCAAGAGACTTTGAATACATGTGTCTCTGTTCCTTGTGAATTGGTAAAATGGTGCTCTTGCATGTACACATTCAGTGGTTGCCGGATTCCCCTGTTGAGCTTCACCAATGCTATATATTGCTCCACATAGAAAACTGACCATAATACCCAAGACAGGAGATACAATTTGAAGGCCACCATACCCAGAGGCACTCACTAGTTCAGCTTTAGGGCAAGAAGGCCTAATCTTCACTCTTCGGAGCGGGTGCATCGCATCAGGCCTTCAGGGACTTGACTGCCCTCCAGGGGGATCACTGCCTTAGATTTGTAAAGCACTGTGCCAGCAAGGTCACCAAACACATTGTACCTCAGAGAATGCTGCCCACAGGATCCAGCACCAATCAACATTATAGACCTTTCCCATTCTCACATCCAGGTCTGGGCAAAGCCACACTCCATCTTGGCCATTGCGACTGAGCCAGGTAAAGCCCCCCTCTGCCCCAGCAGGGATATTAGCAATAGGCCAGAAACTCAGGAGCTAAGTCTTTGAAAGAAAAGCTTCAGAGAGACATCTGTAAGCTAATTTATTATTTAAGGATACTAGTTAAAAACTGAGCTGTGAGGGGTTATGCCTGGGTGGTAGCATGGCCCAAATAGTTATGAATTTGAAGACCTCTGTGTCCTGTGATGTACAACAGTTTTAAATAAATCATGGCCAGAACTGGGACCATGTTGGCCATGGCCCTGGTAGAGGTTACTGCATCTGCTTCTACACCACTGTTTGGCCTTCCTGTCTGAACTATATTGTATTGGTTTCATTGCAGACAGAGGGTGAGAGGATCTGTTAACCAAGGAACTCTAGACTTCAAGACATGGGCTGATACCAAATACCCACCTGAGATCTTCAGCACTGAGAGGAACATCTGTCATAAGAGAAAGTTTTCAGTCAAGACATCTTCCATGCCAGTATATTCCAAGCAATGTGGTCCGGAGCACACAGTCACAATATAGAGCATTTGGTTATAGTCTGGTACGGTGGTGGCTATGGTTTGGTAGAGGGGGGGGAGGGAAGCATTATGTTTGGTGAGTGGAACTGTATTTCTTTCAAAGCAGGTAAATCCTCTCTTCATACCATCATTGAGAATATTGGTTGGGGGATGGGGGAGGGGGTTTGTGTGTTCAAAGCACTATAGATGTACTTGAGGAAGAGATCATAGAGGGTTGCCACCCATTTTCAGAGTTCCTAAATGCTAGAAGGTAATTCTAAAGGAACAGCGGGTGTCTTTAGACTATCCTTTGCAGGCTAAACATGAATACTTTGTCAAACTGTCCATTCATGTCTATGCTGCAAGTTGGCCTTGAAGGCAGTCAGAAGCACATCCAACTATCCCATTATGTCTGTGTTCAGCTCTGCATCTAAACACTGATCTAATATAGTTAGGGGGAGCTTGCAAAGAGGGATGGAAAACACTAGAGATGCGCATGATGAAAAAATTTGTTTAGTTGCAGATTCATTTGTTAAGTTCATTTTGTCATATTGGAAAGATTTGTTTTCAGAATTTATTTCATATATTTGTTGTTCCGAAACAATTTAGAAGATTCAGATTCATTCGTTATATTATTATTTATTTCTGGGATTTAACAATACAGAGTGTGACACATTCTTACAAAACCCTCTAAAGTCACATACGAATGAAATAAATGAATCCGAATGGATTTGTTGTTTTACTTTATAGTTTATTTTGGATTAGTCGAGAACCGTTACTATTGTGATTTGCAGATTTCATATATATTTGAATATCCAAATAATGAAAATTTTGTCCCAATTTTCAATTTGTAATAAAATGAATCGCACATGTCTAGAAAACACCACCACTTACTTTGTTATGCTCCAAGCCCTATGTAATTTAGTTCATTTTCTATGGTCTGTGTGTAAGGTTTTCTTTGTCTTAAGCCCCTGCGTGGGTGTTTGACTTGTTTGCTACTTCAACACTCAATAATAAATATTGAAACAGAAAACACCACCACTAATTTGTAAGGCATTGGGATGAATGTTGTGGATACAACACTGACATGCTTACATTTAAAGGATCCCTAGAGGTGAAATTAAAATTGTGTTTAGGGCTCCATGGTCACTGGATGTTTAGCCCGTGCCTAAGATTCTGACAGTTTCATGTGGACAGATGGCACAGGTGCACCCCCAGCCCCATTGCCAGCAACCTGTAAAAGTCTGAGTGGCTGAAAAATGTGATAGCTGGACACAGCATTCATCCCCCAGTGCAAACAGCTCTCAATGTTAGTATTAGTGTCCAGCAGAGGCATTTTCAGCCTCTCATAGACTTTTACAGGCTGCACGGAGTGGGGCTGGATGGTTCCCTCTGTGCCATCCGACCCGTACAAAATTACCAGAATCTCAGGCACAGGGCCTAAAAACCCAGTGTGCATGAGGCCTTAACCTCCCTAGCGCTCTGATTATGTCCTTATTTCTGTGCTCAAAGCGGTACATTTTTTTGCATGGAAATATGTATTTTTTTTATTGTAGGCCTGTAATTTTTAGGAATAACTCACTGAAATCTGTCAAAACAATTATGACAAATCACGGCTTGAACTATCTTGCCTTGCATGTAATGAGTCTATCTCATATATTAGTTTCACCTTTTAAGTTGCATTACTGAAATAAATTAACTTTTGCACGATATTTGAATTTTTCGAGTTTCACCAGTGTGTGTATATATATATATATATATATATATATATATATATATATATATATATATATATATACATATACACACACACACATACACATATATATATATATATATATATATATATATATATATATATTTGGGGCTTCCAAGTTGTTTTCTAGCAAAAAAAAAAACAAAAAGTGTGAGAGAGGAGTGCCAGAATTGGCCCAGCCTGGAAGTGATTAACAAACATTTTAAGCTTTTATCATCTCTGTTACGTAGTTATATTAACCAAGTTGCTGCACAAGTCAGGCAAGTGCTTTTTCCCTATAGCTTCCGTTTACCCAAAGATCAACAAAACAGAATTTGATCATGGGTGCCTAAATCTTTGCATGCTTGGCTGGACTAAAATGTAAATGACTAACACAGAGATTTATTACCTCTACGTTGTTCTTTTCTATGACCAAGGCATTTATTACCTTTATTTTGATATATCGCACACCCACTGCACATTATTCCCATTATAATCACAGAGGAGACAGAAAGAATAGTACAAATTATAACACAAAATGTCGTTTCTTTTTATATACATTTCAGCAGGGATACAGTGGACATGCAGGTCAGACAGGAGGATCAGCTACAAAATACAGTTATACACAAGTTTGTATATATACAAGATCTGCAGAACATTGCAAGTCACAGCATTGAAAATAAACCCTTTCCTTGATTGCAGCGTTGATTATCCAAATGATTTTGCCTGAGCATAAAACGTCGAAACATTCGGCAATAAAAACATAATAATAATAATAGGATAAGATTCTGTAACCAGTGTTAATTCAGGTCAAATAAAACATTAGCAATACTGCATACCATCTATCTTAATAGAACCCTGTCTGTCAGTTAAGGCAAAATATATTAGGCAATATACTGGTTTATAAACACAGTGCAATGCAACCATAGAATAGACATATGTACATGACATTTCTTATGCATTATCTCACTTCAAATCAAGTTTGCTCCATAAAGGGTTAATAAGGAAAGTGCTGCTTAAAAATGAAGAGAAATGCAATAAAATGAACATACAGGCGCAGTAAATAGCAAATCAACATGATAAATGACAATGAAACAGCAAACAAAAACATTGCTTTATACCTTTCATGAACATGCATGTAATAGTTCCACTATCAGCACCTAAGATGGGATATGTTTCTGTAATTTCCCTGTGCAGTATGTTAGCTGCCATTTAAAGCTAAAGCTTAATCTGTTTATACCTTCCCTAGCTTCTTTTCCCTTCCCCCCAGCAATATGCCAATGAAAATGTTAAAATAATGTATTTTCATTACATACCCTATTTTAGACCCAGTGACATCATCAAGTCTCTATGTTACTCTATGAAATGCAGCTAGATCATGGGTGGTGGGAGGTGCTGGCAGGGTGCTATACATAGCTTCCTGAAAACATCACAACACCATGCCTCAGTACTCCTTTCAAAAGCCCTCAGACCTGATGTAAGCAGTGGAATGGCTCTGTATTTACATAAAGTCCGCCCTAGGTAACACCCACATATGATGCAGAGTGGGTAAGGGGCAGTAAGGCGGATTTAAAAGATAATGGATGTTCTTCAGCCAGGAAATGAGGCGGGAATTATTGACCGTGCTGCAGTTTCTATTGCACACTGTGAGAAGAGCGGACTCTGAAGAGTAGACTGACGAATATACTTCAAATACTATATATTTTAACATTATCTAAACTTTTCTGGAGAGGATGGGGTAATATTTATGAAATCTGCTCTGGATATAGTAATAAACATGATAAAGCCTGTGATCAAAGCAATGAATAGTGGCTGGCAGCCTACGCAGATTCATGAACAAGGTAACAGCTACAGGGTGTCACTAGTGTGACTATGGTTAGTTGTATTTTTAAATTGGGGACATTTTTCAGTTTTTGATCCATTTTTAAGTAAAATTCAAAGTCAAGCATGCCTACCATTATGCCTCCTGGGCCACATGAACAGTAAAGTGTATGGAAAACCATTTTTTTTTTGTAAAATGTTAAAAAATTAAATTCATTCTCACTAGTGGTGCTGGGTGACTATTGTCTATGGCAGCCTTTCTCAACCAGGGGGCCATGGAATCCTAGGGTTCCCCCTGAGGTTGCTTGGAGTTCCTTGAGCAATGGCAAACTCCTGCCTCTAAGATAAATTCCCACTAACACCAGTGATGTTTTTAGAGATCTGTAGGGTGGATGCTTCCCAATGACCTCAAATGAAAGGAGCATTCTGCCCACTGATCATCACACTAATGTACAGCCCTGGCCCAAATGTTTTCAGAATTACACAAATATTAATATACCTGCAAGGAAACACGTGCAGTCATCATTGCTTTGCACATCATTTGCTTTGCACAGGCAAAGATATTGCTGCAACTAAGATTGCACCTAGATCAACCATTTATTGGATCATCAAAACCTTCAAAGAGAGAAGTTGAATTGTGAAGAGGGCTTCAGGGTGCCGAAGAAAGTGCAGCAAGCACCAGGACTGTCTCCTAGAGTTAATTCAGCTGCAGGATTGGGGGCACCACCATCTGCACACATAGTGAGGAGAAGACTTATGGAGGATGGCCTAGTGTCAAGAAGGGCAGCAAAGAAACCACTTCTGTCCAGGCAAAACATCAGGGACAGACTGATATTCTACAAAAGGTACAGGGATTGGACTGCTGAGGACTGGGGTAAAGTCATTTCCTCTGATGAATCCCCTTTCTGACTGAGGCATCCAGAGAAGAAAAGATGAGCGCTGCCATCAGTCCTGTGTCATGCCAACAGTAAAGCATCCTGAGGCCATTTATGTGTGGGGTTGCTTCTCAGGCACTCAAGGGAGTGGGCTCACTCACAATTTTACCTAAAAACACAGCTACAAATAAAGAATGGTACAAAAACATCCTCCGAGAGCAACTTCTCCCAACCATCCAAGAACAGTTTGGTGACGATCAATGTCTTTGCCATAAAAAAAATTCTGATAAACTCCAAGCATTGATTATGCAAGAATGGGATGCCATCAGTCAAGATGTGGGCCCAGAAGTTGATTGACAGCATGCCAGGGTGAATTGCAGAGGTCTTGAAAAAGAAGGGTCAACCCTGCAAATATTGACTCTTTGCATAACATTATTGTAATTGTCAATAAAAGCCTTTGACACTTCTGAAATGCTTGTAATTCTAATTCAGTATACCAATATCTGACAAAAGATCTAAAAACACTGAAGCAGCAGACTTTGTGAAAATTAGGATTTGTGTCATTCTCCAAACTTTTGACCACTGCTG